TTGCTGTGCCATTGGCAATCAAGTAATGTGGCGTGTGAAGAGCGTGCGAAAGACTTCAAAAACTCTTCATGTTTGCCTGCTCTACAGCTGCGGATAATATTTCCTGCTTCTGAAAAATCAGTCTATTAAAACCCATCATTTCATTTTGCCAACAGGGCTCCCACAAATTGCATTTAAATAAGCCGGCAGAATTTGTATTTTTGTGTCTAGACCGGAAATGAAAAACGTTATTGCCAATGGACCAGGTGTTTGGGCCTCGTATCGAGTTTCGCAACAATTCCAGAAATGTCATTCAAACGAAATGAAATGTAAACTGGCCCGAATTCCCATGCCTTCCATTAAAGTGCTTAGCATAACTTAAATAATTTTTTTACCACTGAAATAACCTAAAAGGGAGATGGAAAAGGACTTAGCAAAATCCGCTTAAGCGAGACGCCGGACTTAAATTTAAACTCTCGCTTGCTCGATTTTTTGTTATCAAAATAGTTGCTGGCATTATCAGGGACTGGCATTAGAGCTGGTTTTCTGTCATGGACCAAGCATTTCCAATCAATTGAAATTCAATGCTCCAGTGCAGAAGGGAGCGGAAACGGAAGTGGAACTTTGGACATGCAATTTAAATTCAATTTTACACACAAACAGAAAAGCGAGGGTGCCAAGGATGAGCAGGTGGATAGGGTGCATCTCAGCTATGAGCTGGTCGCCGGCTTTTATGACAATTTCCAACACAAATGGGTTGGCCAGGACGTGTCCCAGCAAAACAGGGAGAGTTCAGGGTCAGGGGAGAGTCACTGGGGCAGCGAAGGCTATCATTATTTACGGGAATCGTTGGGGAGGTCTAACAATGGCTGTTATTGCTTGCGCTCCGCTGGATTATAGGGTATCAAATATCTGATTTTCCAATGTCAGTTCTCTAGTGACTTTACAGGGGAAATCATTGCTTATTAAAACTGTTTTATAATAATGTAGTTGCTTTATAAAATTATATTTTCTTTTTCAAACAACTGAAAGATATTTAAATCATCTTTTATATTTAATTAAACTAGTTGGGTGTATCTCCCATTGTCTGTATGCAGGGTATTTGTAGCTTCAAAAATAAAAGTTTAGTACTTTACATTTTAAAATTTGAAATATGTTAATACTCGTATGATGAGCCGTCAGTAGTGTCCTGTTTCTAAGCTAAACCTATCCACTGTTTTTATGGCTTTTGCTGCAACTGTCGCTTGTTGCGCTTGCATTTCAATTGATGGCACCATCATTAAATTTTCAATGTTTATCTCCGGCGTCGCTTGCTGAATTCTAAAAACAAACCGCATTTTCTGTATTCTCCCACTTCCCCCGTTTCCTGTCACACAAGCACTCGCAATATAATGTTGCAAACAAGTCACAACAATATCGCCCACAATTGCTAAGCGGATTGGGTTACTTCCCGAGTATAATATCCTGGACGCTGACAATGTTGTGCTGGTCCTTTGTGATGGGATTGACTTAATGCCAACTTGGCAACTTGGCTGGCAACTATAAATAGATCAGGGGACACATCGTTGATCCAAGATGCTCCGAACAACTTACACTGGGAAAACCAAACAACATTTTTAGGGCATAATCTCATTAGTTAAAACAAATGAATGAGCTTTGATGTTTTAAAATGGTAGACTTTCTTGGTATTTTTATTTATTTTTTAATGCGCTAATTTTTTTGTTAATATTTTAAAAAGGTTTCTAAATATGAAACACAAAAATATGACATTTTTAATCTAAAATGGTTCCAGTACAGGCATTTTGTTGCCACTTCAAAATGATCTTACCACTCATTTTAGGCGATAATTATTAATTTTCTGTGCATCAATTACCAATTGGCATTCAACACATCCCCTACGCCCGTTGCTGCTGACCGTGTAAATCAGGCTAATTAAATCAGAATGCGGCATTAAAAGTTTATGGTGGAGTCCTGTGGGCCAGGACACCAGGACATTAATGTAATCATTTGCCATAAATTTGCATTTATGACGCGTCTTGCGCACGTTGTCGTAGCAATTCATTTGCCGGTCAGCGATCCTGTCATCTCAGAAGGCAGGACGCGGACAAGGACGAGCTGGCATATTAATTAAAGTGACGCCGCTAATGAGTTAGATTAAAGCGGGCAGATGCGCGTGTTTCCCGGAGTCAGTGCCTCGCTTTCATTCCGGGCGAGCGTGCGTGTAATTGGCAATATCTGCTGGCCAGGATTACGCCAGAAAATGTGTGTGTGTGTGCGCGCTTGAGGATGTGGTTTTCGGGTCCGGGGCGTTCATTAAGCTTTTTATGCACGATGTCGCCTAATGTGTCCGGGTTTTCCCTCTCCCAGTTTCTTGTAGTTACCAGCTTGGGCGCAGAAAAGTATGCTTCAATAAACTTGATTGCAACTCGCTGTTGTTGGCCAAATTAAAATTCATGAGCAATATTTGTATTTAATGATTTGTTTCATTTAATTAACAGTGGAATTAAGTGCGTATTCATAAATCATGTTTATCAAGATTCATTATTTTAAGAACCCTTTATCTAAAAAACGTTTATATGTATTACTTGATAGCGACTTTCTGCGTTATGTTGGGTGAATAAAATATTCGGCTTATTTTAAATGCAATTAAGAACGTAATTTAAAGTTTCTTTTTAATAATTTATAACTTTGGGCTATGAAAATCATTAAAGGTGGTAAATGTAACAGGTTATATCCGATACACGTTATCTATCTTCAAGTTTAACAAATAAAGAATACCCCTGAAAAATACGTAAAGAAATTACACATTTTTGCGCTTTATTTTCTTGTAATTTCTTTGCAGCAAATGCTTCTCTTTGATTGAGTTGCTTTCTAGCGTAAATAATTTAAATTGACGAAACTTTTGCATTCAAAAGAGAAAATCCTTGGACAGAAATAAACAAAAATCAGACGTTTTACTTTAATATTTCGTTTGGCTAAGAACTGCAAAAGGAATGAGGGAGAAGTTTGAAGAAAATGTATACACCGCCCATATATCAGAATTATACAGCAATAACTATGGAAATGTTTATAACGAGCAAGTCATCTGTCTTTTTCTGAGAGCTGCAGCTGATAAAATAAAATAAATTCGCATATTAAATGTACATTTTCTGCGTCTCTGCCCGGCACATTCTTTATGCCAACTGACATTATTAATACTAATTTATACACAAGACTGAGAATCTGTGTGTTTTTGTAATCTTGTTTGCGGCAGTTGGCTTTTTAAATGGCCTACACAATTGTTGCGCCACACAAAGGTTGTCATGGGGCTGCCTCATTGTACATTTGTCTTTTCAATTGTGCATGTGCTGCTGGCCTCTTAAATGTTTTATGTGGTTATATCCGACATTTATTCGCTCGACAACGTTTACACATCTGTCACACAGGGCCTCTAAAGCCATTTCAGATGAAATTCTTCCGGTATTGATTTTCGAGAATTTAATTAAACCCTTTCGCCACACGATGTATTATCAATAAATTTGTGTGCCAAATCCATAATCCCCGCCCGTATTTGTAGCCCTGATAAATCGAAAAGTATACAGTCGGTCCCACAAAGGAAGGTGCATCGCAACGCCAGGAAATGCCAGCCAGCAGCATCAGATGCACCACAATCCAGGCTGCAGGCCACTAAATTGTGGCACCAGCTGGCACACGGCCATCTGGCCAGGCGGTATCATTCCGCTCCCGGCTCTGCCAGCCATAACCCCCGGCTGCCTCCATTTCCAGAGCCCGGCTATAAAGCCTTTGCCGTGCATCGCAAATCCTGGGGCTGTGGCTGCTGTGGCCTGACTGACTGATGGCCAGGTGAAGCCGTCAACGCAGGGATTAAGGGTGTTGGGGCTGGGCGGGCGACGTGGGCACACTGATAAAAATATGCGAAACATTGTAAAAATCGCATTTTTGTATAAAGCAATCGGACTTTTATTTTAATAAACAGAGGATAATAAATGTCGTTTGCCTGTGTTATTTAAAAATATGAGCATTACTCTTACTTTCTAAAACATTTTATTTAATTAAAATTTTCCATAATTGGGCTTTACTCAATTGGTTAAAAAAATACTCGTTAAAAATTTCATAAATTTTTATTTTTAATATTTCTACAGTATGTTGGTTCTTAGTTTAAGAATTCTTTTAAATTTCTCCAATTTAATTAAACTTTTATGTTACCATTAAGACTCTAAGGTTTATTTAAATTACTATAAAATATGTTTTACCTTCAATTTTGTTTTTCAATTAAACATCCATATCATACAAGTAAAAAAATAAAATAAAGTGCAGCCTAGTATGCAGATAAATTTCGCAAAGTGGTTTGTGCAGTTGCTTTAATGAAAACTTTCATTTGAGCGAAATATCTAGTTTCGTTATTGCAGTCAGCAAACAGAAAGTTAGTAGCAGCCCACATTCGTCCAAAAGCCGTTGAGAGAAAGGAGAAATTCACTTTTAATTATTTACGGCTAAACAGAAAGTTGGCCACAAGGAGGAGAGTGGCCGCAGGAGACACTTTTTGTGCTACGGACACAAAAACTTTTGGCCAAATGCCGTTTGCCCGGGTTCCACCGCCCTTAATTCATTTGGCAGCGGGGGAAAAGCAGAAAATATGGTTGGTGTCGAAGCATTTGAGAGTTTCCTTCGGTTCCGTTTGCAATTCCATTACTTTAATGTGCCAGGAAGGAAGGGGAAAACTTTTAAATCTTTATTTATAAAAGCTTCCGCACAGGCGGCAACTTTTTTGTGCGAGTGAAAATGAAATAATTCCAACAGCCGCAGTTTTGCGGTGGGCCATGCGGTTTTCCTGGCCAAAACTATGCCAGCCAAACTTGCTAAATGCCCTGACAAACTTTTGCCCTACTCCAAAGCGAGGGAGTGAGCTATAGCCAGCCGTATATATATTATATATATATGTGTTCCTGGCTTAAGTTGGATTACGCCTAAGACGTGCAAATTGTTTAGCTAATTCATCGCCCTATTCTCTCTTCTTCCAGTGCATGCGGGCCTACGTCGAGTTTGAGATATCCGAGGGCGCCTATGAGATCTCCTGCCCGGATGCCAAGTGCCCGGCCCAGGGCGCCATTTCCCTGCCCGAGATCGCTAACCTAACCACAACGAACCTGCTGAAGAAGCACCATCGCTATCGCCTGAATCGAGGTGGGTTTTTCATAGATTCGCAAAGCGAAATCCCACTCACATGGTAATTTCTTTCGCGAGACAGAAATCGAATTGGACAAGACGCGCACCTGGTGCCCACGGGCTGGCTGCGAGACCATCTGCATGGTGGGCGGAGCAGCGCAGCCCGCCCAATCCAGCGCCATTTGCCAAATGGACGAGTCGCCGTCGACCTCGCAGAGCTACAGCCCGCAGCAGGAGGCATCCGGAAGCGGAAGTGGAAACACGGGTGGCGAGGCCGGAAACGGAGCAGCCGTGTTCTCGGTGTCTGTGCATTGCCCCTCCTGCAAGGACGAGTTCTGCGGCCTCTGCAAAAAGGCGGTAAGTTGTGGTTTGTCATCAATGCTATGATTAGTTGGCATTCAAATGGCCAACAAACAATAAATGAACAAAATGTATTTCAAAAAATTAAACTAAAAACATGAATAATGTTGCCCACAAAAAAGGCATTGCTGAAATAACATTCCTAAAGAGATGTAAACCCTGTGATTTTTTTGTAGTTATGTTATGTTATAACTTTTTATGGCGACTGATTGAAATACATTTTAGTTTTATAAAAATAAAATGCTAATAAATGCTTATGTACATGGATTCCCTCTCATTTTCAGTACCATCCAAACATAAGCTGCGAGGAGTTTGGACGCCGCCTGATTGCCGATGGCCAGGACGACATCGGAATACCGTTCGACAACGAGCTGATCAAGTGCTGCCCCATGTGCGCGGTGCCCATCGAAAAGGACGAGGGTTGCGCGCAGATGATGTGCAAGCGATGCAAGCACGTCTTTTGCTGGTACTGCCTGGCCAGTTTGGATGTGAGTGTTTTGAATGCAACCGGCTCTGACTTTATAATTAAATTGTAATTTCCCCAGGACGACTTCCTGCTGCGCCATTACGACAAGGGACCGTGCAAGAACAAGCTGGGTCACTCTAGAGCCTCAGTTGTGTGGCACCGCGCCCAGGTGATCGGGATCTTCGCCGGCTTCGGAATCCTGCTGCTGGTGGCCTCGCCGCTGCTGCTCCTGGCCGCTCCCTGCATCATCTGCTGCAAATGCCGCGGCTGCAGTGGATCCAAGATCGACGAGGTGGACGCCGAGCTGGAGGAGGAGGTCACCGCCTTGCAGGGCTAGGTGGCTGAACCTCCGATTCCCATCTGTACGCGACACAAGGCTGCAGCCTGTACATGCATCTGCTGCAGTTACTGGTAGATTCTATTGTTAATGACGACATGCTTACGTACATTTATTTTAGTTATTACAATTATAATTGTATATGTGTTAACTAAATTGTGATATTTACAGTGATTCGATTTCTAATTGAATCGACAAATTTGTTGAGAACCTATACAAAGACAAGACGCCTTCGATTCTTTTTAGGTTCTGTCTCTACATATATTCTTTCCTCCCCTAACTACACTTATGAATATATATTCGACTAAATCAATCTGTATAAAGCAAGTAGGTCCTCTTTCTAGCGCATAAGTTAGTCTAAATATATTAGGAGTACGCCTCGTATTTCAACAGTGCTTTTATATCGCACCCACCCCACAAAAACCCCCACTCACCCACTTAAACCTTTTCTCAAGTATTACGCATGCAACTAACAGACCCAAGATCCTTGGGCCACTTCGATCAACTGCTTGGCAATGCTTTTATCTATACATACACATATATACTGCATATATAGGAGGTATATATGATGTCACTACTACTGTTTATTGAATGTATTTAAATGTAAATGTTAATATGCAGCTAAAACAAATGTAAAACAGATCGTTGCTCTCGGGGCGCTCGACCAAAAATTGGAAGTGCACCCGCTGGGTGGGGTTTGGTTAATGTAAATTATTGAATTATTTAATGCATATACACTCAGAACACATATATCAAAATACGTATGACATAAAAATGCGTGTATATTTAAAAAAACATATTTAAACTCTACTCTTAATGTGAAGAACTACCGCGTATGCTGTTTGAAATAAAAATGTTAAAATAAAAGATCGATGTGTTGTTATTACTTGTTAGGGCTTAACAAAAATAAAAATCACTAGTTCAAAATTACCATTTTTATCGGATTTTATTATTAAGTTTAGAAGCTTTAAATTTGTTAGCCAGAAACAGGTATTTTCAAAATACCGGTTTCCGTTAAGTCAAAAAGTCTGGCCACGCTAGATTTGTTATAAGAAGTCAACTGGTTTGAGACCGTGCTATATATCGTCAAAGTTCTGACTCGATAACAAACATTTAAAACCGATAGAGCCACACTGGAAAACATAAGGGGAAAACATCGGCCGGCAAGAGTTATTTACTGATTTTAAGCGATCATTGGCTGTATTGGAAGCTCTAGCAACAGGCAGTAGGACACATCAACCCCCGTCGCCATGGACGACCAGGCGTGCCCGCGGTGCAAGACCACCAAGTATCGCAATCCGTCGCTTAAGTTGATGGTCAACGTCTGCGGTCACACGCTGTGCGAATCCTGCGTGGATTTGCTATTCCTTAAAGGATCTGGCGCCTGTCCCGAGTGCATGGTGCCCTTGCGGCGCAACAACTTCCGCGTCCAGCTATTCGAGGATCCCATGGTGGAGAAGGAGGTCGACATCCGCAGGCGCATCCTGCGTGACTACAACAAACGGGAGGAAGACTTTGGCTCCCTAGCGGAGTACAACGACTATCTGGAGGAGATCGAGGACATAGTGTACAATCTGTGTAACAACATCGAGATCATCGAGACGAACAAGCGGATCGAGGCGTACAAGCGCGACAACCGCGAGGTCATCCAGCGCAACAAGACTCGCGTGGGTCGCGACGAGTACGCTCTGGAAGAGATGCTGGAGCTGGAAAAGGTGCAGGAGGAGGCGCGCAAAAAGGAGCTCGAGGAGCTAGAGAGCGAGCACAAGAAGAAGAAGGCCCGCGACAAGCAAGCGTTGATCGAGGAGCTGATGTACAGTGGCAAGGATGCCGCCCAGATCGTCACCGAGTTCGCCGAAAAGGCCGAGAAGCAGCGTGAGGAGGAGAAGCAATTGCCGCCCCCGAAGCCCGCCAACGAATTCTCCACGGGCATCAAATTTGGGCAGACGGCGGACCCCAGTCTGCTGCCCGTCCCTAAGTCGGAGGAGGGTCCCCTCTTCGTCTACGAGCCGCTGATTGCTCTCAGTGAAGGTCCCGCCATGCCGCCCACCAGCGAGATCGAGACCATGGGCTACATCACCCACATACGCTCTGAGACGCCGCAGGAGAACGCCGGCGGCTTCACCTCGACTTTGGCCTGCGAACGAGCGCTCCAGGAGGCGCTGCAGGGCCTATACTACACGGCCACGACGGGAGTGGCCGCGGGCACTTAGTCTTGGAAGAAGGGAAGATGGTCGCACAACCAGAGCACAGAACGCTTACTTTTGTTGAACAAATGTGTCCTATACGAATCCATTCAGTTAACTCGTAATCTACTTAATATATATTTTAATGAAATAAATGCTATATCGTATGTTATGAACGATCTTCCTCTTATTTTTCTAATGGATGATCAAAATAAAAATATACAACCCCTTTCAACTATTGGATTGGAAGACTTCTTTTAAATAATACCAGACTAAGAAAACGTTTTGCCAACTTCTAAGCCTTTACCTCGAACTATTATTGTTTACTCTTTGACTCCAAAGATAATTTCTTTGAGGCAGTTGGCAGAGTGTAAGTCAATGATTTTTGCCTTTGAATTCTCTATTAGGTCAGAAATATCTACTTTACTGCTTTAAAAACTTCTGAACAAAACCATAATACCCTCTGAAAAGTTATAATCAAGAAGTTAACTTCGGAAACATTTAACGTTTAGTCCCACTAAAAAAAGGGTCAATCTTTGATTACAGACTTGGTTTTATTTTAAATACTTTTTAACAGTAAATGTTTATAGGCATAGTTACATATGCTTGATAAACATACATTGGATTTAATTGGGCTCTTTATACAGTACACGGATTACAGTTTAATTGTATGCTAGTCCGACGAGTACCTCGTCACATCCTAAGTTCTACTTGCACAGTAAGAGGTAAATGTGTTCTGCGATGGTGTACTTGCGAAATTTTGGCCACAGATGGACTATCCTAGCCAAGTACATGAACTGATTAACTTAACGATCTATGCATGGTTAATGGGAAAAGATTACATAGTGCGGGACTGGTGACAATGAGTGCAATTCAGGGATATGGCTGCTAATACATTTGAAATGTTGTAAACTTAACTATGAGCTCATGAGTTTCGCATCGCATCCAAGATGATTAAATGTACACAATAAAAATAAGCTGGGAAGGAGTCATTATGCCGGTTGCATCACACTTCCGAGCAGGATGCCTCAAACGATGCTGGTGGAATGTGGAAGCGGCGACTGGCGATAAGTGCCAGAACTATCAAACGTTCACGTCGGTCGGTTTGCATACGCCTAGTAGTTAGATGGTAGCATAACATTTAATTTAGACATAAATTTTGGACTTAACAATCTAATTAAAATGTTAACATTTAATAATAGTTTTTTCGCACACGCCTTTTGTTGATTATACATAGCTATAATTAGAATCGGTTGCATGCGCTATGATTGTTTGCCAAACACTACTGATAGGTTTCTCGTTGACTTGATTCACTTTGTTGCATTTTGCGTTCGCATCCGAGTGCACTTGGGCTGTCTGGCGATTCTGCTCCAGGGGAATCTGGGCTTTCTTCGCCGTGTTCTACTTCTGTATTGTTATTGGTGTTTTTGTGGGTGGATGCGCAAAGCAAACATCAGCAGGCAGTAGTCATAAATTGCATTTCCAACTAAACAGAATCGTCTGTAATAAACAATTATTTGAGTTATGAGGTTGTGGGCTGCAAATGAAAAATTACGAATACGCACCATGGTACCACCATTTAGTCTTTTTGGGATTCTTATTGCAGGTCTTTACGTAGAGCGTGTTGTCTGGCGGACGCTTCTTTTCGCGGCAACTGCTCAACATGGAAGCTATGCTAAGGCACACGGATTGCACGGACAGCGCCGGCGACCAGTCCTCGGTCAGAATGGATAGGCAGATGTGTCCATTGCTGTAGACATGTGGATGCACGGGTATATTGCTGCCGATGAAGGTCACCTGGCAAATAAAAGAAAAAGTTAAAGATCACCTTCGATTTTACTTTGTTCAGCAGAAATATTACCTCTGGCGAGTCAAAGGGATATTTATTGTTGAATTTGAACAGCAGCTGGAAGTCCTCGCCCTCGTAAAGTGTGCCCTCGAAACCTTTAATGTTTATTTTCCATCTGTAAGCCAAAGAGAATTATGAGTGTCAGCCTCCAACAATTGCGGGCTTTGTTTTCGACGCAAGTTGCTGAATTAAGCGAGTTTTTTATTTTTCGTATTATGTGCTTGAATTAAACCAGTTTCAGTTTTCGCTGAACTTGGCCCACTCTGCTCCGTAGTCCGTACTTACTCGGATAAATTTTGCTGTACGCTTTCGGTGTCAACGGTAACGCCTGGCGGCGGCTCCTTAATTAAGGACATAAGCTCTTTGTGCAGGCGGCGCTGTGGGGCAAAAATAGCAATGAGTATTAAATTAGTTAATGTCTTGGCCAATTCTTGGCCCATCTTATCGCGAAGCACACCTCAGCTGGGCCATTCTACTTAAGAATTCTCAAAACTTATTTTTTCCGCTAGCCTTATCTCTGCGCCATTTCTCCTTTGGCTTACAAACGCCAATATACGCCATTTGTACACATAATACGCACATATATATAACGCAACGCACGATAAGATAAAAACCAATGTTCATGAAATTTATAGAACCGTTGATTGTTTTTCCGTCTTTCGGCTCTCCCTTATCGAATCATTTCCACTTGCAGGGCCATTTTCGAGACCGTAAACAAGTGCATACGTACATAACACGGAGTCAACTCCACCGTTCTGCACACACATTTGAGCAGCTGATAAACGGTTTGATCGATAAGGGCAAAAGGCAGAAAATGTGCAAGGCAAGAATTAAGAAAACGAATCGGAGAACCCCCTTAAAATGAGGAGAACGGAATCACACAGATTCCTTGGGACTTAAAATACTACTCAGCCATGACGCAACGGCACCACTATGTAATTGAGACCAGCCGTTCGAACGTGATTGCTGGCCAAATTTCAGGTTTTATCCCACTGTTGGATATACTTGCCTCCCAGCGCGAGTTGTCCAGCTGCAGGGGCTTGCCGCATTTGGAGACCGGCGGCGTTTTGGGTTCTTTGGGTTCGGTTATGATCTCCGACTTGGGTATTTTATCTTTGGGTTTTTTGAATAGCTTCAGCATTCTGTAGCCGTTATTTTCACAGTTTTTACACTAATTTCAATGCTAGTTCTGTCGCCGATCACTTGTCTTAATATTTCACAGGTTTTTCACGAGTTGCTAGACTGCTAAATTTCCAATTTTGTGTGTTAGTTATATCTACACTTCAATATGCCAGTGCTTTTCCCAGGAGGCGAGAGTGGGCGAGGGGCCTGCCAGTCATTTTATTCGCGAACCGATTCTTGTCGACCAATTGCGCCAACGTTCGTGGGACGACTGCAGGAAACCGCCGAGAAAATTGTGGGAGAGACTGCAGGGCGAGTCAGTGACGAAGCCCGTCGGTGCGACGTGTTTCGGTGTGCGTAGTCGTCGGCGCTTTCGGCAACTCACCAACAGCACCCAACACCCCGCTCACCCGATCTATATACGTTTTGCACTATCAAAAATGAGAATTCGCAAGTGCAGCGAAACGGCCCAAACTAGTTTGTTAACCTGAACAAGTTGCTAGCACAGCTGGTTTGGGCATGAGCTTCGGATTCGGGTTCGAATTGTGTTTCCCAAATCACGAGATGGTGGCTTCCGGACCCTTCCCTGCAACCCGCAAAAGGTATTGGCAAAAACCCTTATCGTACCACTGCCCTGGCACGCAGCCATAATATGATAAGCCTATGATTAGATTACACTGATAGGTATGTTGATAAGCATATCAGTATATAAATACAGTAAGGAAAAAGATCTTTAAAAAAGTTTTTAATTTTTGAAAGCCAATATCTTGAAAGTAACAAGGGCTTTGATAGAGATAGAAAGTACCAGTAATAAATAGTATGTATCTGAATTTGAAATCCTTTGTGATTGTTTTGAAAACCAATAAAATTAAATATATTGAGGTTTTAAAGTCTTCTTAATATTGTTGACTTTTTGACGATATTTTCCTCAGTGCAGATACTCAAACAAAAGAGGGACATGTTCAAGACGGAGGTATACGTCAATAAGGCATACATTTCAATTGATGGAACAATGAGATCTTTTGCGTATTCCATTGAAACGAAGCCGAGTGTCTGCTCGTGATTAAAAACAATCAAGCAGCGCTCTAGAAGATGATCGATTATATAAGTTAAACGCTAGTTTACAGCAAAACGGGTTCTAAATGAAGCGACAGATCGACAACCACTTAGTAAAGCCAATTAAAACGGGCCCATAAAAGCAGCAAGTTCCGCGGCCAGATAGTAAAAGTGTTTGGAACCGAAGGAACAGAAATGCGAAATACTAAACACTGAAGTAGGCCAGACCAATAAACACGCGCCTCGCTATGCGGGGGTTACTTGCCGTTTATTTTAGACTCTATCAAATCAAGAGAGCAAAACAAAAGCTGCTTGAATCACACAGAAGTAAATAAATAAATAAAATGCAATTGAATGCCAAAGTCTAGAAAAAGAACGCTGACAAGGAAATTCTGGCCATCGGGGAAACAAAGCATCGGCCAAAAAATGGACTCGCAAATTCTTCGGCAATAAAAGCCAAGCAGAGTGTAAACAAATAAACCAGCGACTTCCAGACTTAGGGGGCAGCGGAAGGGGGCTGTCTCAGTTTTTATTTATTTCTTATTTTCGGAGAATATTTCTCGGGTAAACACAATTCGCTGGTCGCTGATGAATAAAGCGTGCCATAGCCGAAATCTTTGTGGCTGATAAACGTTTTAGCAGCTGATAAAACCGCAATGTTTTGGAGGTAAGCCAGAGGGTGAAGGACGATTAGCGTAGATATAAACATGTGGGATGTGGGAGGCCATGGGAGCTGGGGAAATTAAATGAAATGGGGGCGGGCATGAATCACGCCTCTCAAAAACAGTTTGGAAATCGCATTTGCTGGCCAACCTTGGGCTGTGAATCACACGCCAGACCAAAATAAACAAACCCAAACCCCCTTTCTGGCCAAATTATGCAACTGGGAGGCCCAAGGGCCAGGCCCCAAAGCCATATAAAGCGATTTCCTGAACCGGAGAAATGCTAAGCGCATTACAATAAAGGTGAAAGCGGAAGAGCCAAGGGGTGGGGTTGATTATACTGTCGCTGCAACCTTAAACTTGCCAACTGAGCCACCTGCCCTTCGCCGGCGGTCGATAAGCCATATAGTACGTCATCGCCGCAGAATTGTGACGTCAGAGATCGTGCACTGGGGCGGTTTAAATATACGAAAACCTGATGCGCCAGTTTTGGCTTTATCATCTGGCCGAAGAGAGCGGCAATCGACATGTGTCACGTTCGCGGCGGATGAGCAACAAGTTCCATACTGCTTTTGGAGCATCTCCTTCGCCGATTGCCGCTGATACCGAAACATGTAGCTATAAAGAAAACTTGGAAACGTAAGCCATCAAAACGAGGACGTGCTGTTGCTGCAGACACGTGAAAGGCGCGTGTAGTTACAACAATATAAGATGTATGTTGCTAAGAGGAAAAGAGGACAGATATTGCTACTATAGCAATTAAATTAAAATTAAATGTATCATATTTTGCAAGCGATTTAAACACAAAGGTGTTTCTCCTCTGTGATTAAGGCGTTCGTCATAAAGTCGATTGGAAATCGCCAGGGGAAATGGCAAATCGCTTTAATCGCAATGAAATTGCGCAGGTAAATTTCTATCTGATTAAATCTGCCGGCTAGCGATCACGTTTCTCAGGTCACCGACTTCAACAATCCGCCCATTTCAGCGACCTTTTCAATAAGATACTTTTAGATAGATGAATTGCTGCTCTGTCATATGGATGGATTTCGATACTGCCTTTTAAACTTGCTCATTAATCGCTTATTGTCTCGGTGGAGTGCTTATAAGGCAAACACTTCCTTATGGCGATGCTTTTTCTTTGTGATCGGATCGCGAAATATGCCCATGCATATTTCATGATGCCAGATCACTTTGGAGGCTTGGTACTTTTTGATTTTCCACTACAGTCGGGCTTCTTTAACTTGATCGTCTAAAACTGGCTGTTTTTAATATTTTAAAAAAGGTCTATATAACAATTTATAAATACAAATACATTTACATTGTATAAATACATTTTATACATAAAAGTTAATTTTTATGAAATTTTTATATTCTCTAATTTTATCAATTAACTCAAAGTTCCTGAAATATTTCAGATTTGGTTCGATTCTTAGGACTTTGACTGTAGATTCCTCTGTTTCAAAACATTTTAAACTGGTTCTGTGGACTGGCTATAGCTTGCTGTTTATTTATAGAGTCCTAATGCGTATCAAGCGGCTGGGAGCGCCGGTAATTATTATGTTGAGCGCGTGCCAAAAAATTGGCGGTTGGAGGGACGGATCGCAAGTGTCAAGAGGATCCCTGGGAAAAGCTGCTGGCCACCGACAATTAATTATTAACTAATGCTGAACCTGCACAATTTGGAGCCGATGTAAAGTATGTCGTGTTATGAATTTCGCGTCACGGAGAATCTGGCAGAGCTGCGCGTGCTAATTCGCGTGGCACCGAGAACTGAATGCGAGCGCTGTCACTGGCGATGAGCTTCTATTTTCGGCGGACGGGCGAGCGATCCGAGTGATTCACATATGTATATAGGAGAGATGTGGGTTCGGAGCAGTGATGGTAAAGGTAAATTTTGTATTTGCCAAGGTAGGGACATGAACATTCATTCTATGTAACTTACATTGTCAATATTTATATCTGTTTTTGTCATAAAGAACACCTATCGCAAGTAGGTAAAAGTTACAATGAAATCTATAGCTTTTATTCTTTACAATTTGAGTAATCTATATGTATAAGAGATATAGCTGCTGAGGAAAGATACGATGCATACACAGGCTGCGTAAAAGTGACCTGAGTAAAGAAAAAAGACAACAATTGTTCCAAATATGAAGTGAGATTAAGATTATTTCTTAATCGATGTTATAAATATTATTTTGAATAATCACTGAATATATTCTGGTAAAACAGTTTCCTAAAAGACTGAAATATTAATATTATTTGTACTGTATTAGATTTAATCTAGGTTTAGGTAACAAATAATTACAAAAAATAGTAAAATTTCACTTTCTATTTAAAAGAAACTGGTTAAACTTCTATTAAAAGAACTTTCGAAATTCCTCCCCTGCATTTTATACCTATATATTCTTTATAAGGAGAAATGTTATGGGAGTTGTACAAGTGGATCTAGGCACTCCCATCTCGGATTCGTGGCACCCTAAAGAGCAATGAGCTGGCGAGGATCGAAGGTTTTGGCCACAATGCAATTGCATTGTTTACGTGGCATAAACAGCCATTCAGTCAAAGGGAAAGTGCAATGAATGCCGTGTAAACATTTGGCCAGTGGGAGGCAGAGGTCACTGGTGGGTGGCGCAAACAGAGTATCGATTGCCGGGTTCGCAATTAGCGACCGGGGTCGGACGACCTCGAGGGGCAGAAAGCATTGTTATATAATCAAAGAAGGAGCTCAAGAAGGAAGCTGGACGGTCTTATCATCGCAGAGCGCTGCGTCACTTATTCAAGTCCGAATGTCTGCAACGATAAGATGACGTTGAACCTACTGGCGGAATGAGCAACTCAACGTGTGATTGCGGAAGGCCAACCTTCTGGGACCGTAAACATTTGCCCAGCTGTAAGGTGGTACTCCCACCATCCGTATGATCCTCGGAAATCTCAAGACCCCAAGGGAACTCACCTCACTGGGCGACATCGAAGACATACTACTAGTCCTGGGGAAATCCGTCTTGGTGTTCCTGCCGCTTCTGCTATAACTCCTGGATGCTGCACTCGCTGGCTATCCTTCCGTTTCGTGCGTGGCCGAAATCGTTGCTACTTGAGATGTAAACCCCTGGTTTTTCTGTTTAACTAAGCAAATGTTATTAGAAAAATAAATATCTGAGCGGACAGTGTGACCCCCGGGGCAGTGTTGGACAATGCAAACTTGAAAAACTACAAATACCGCACTCAGCTGTTTCGCGGTGTTAGTATATTTTAGTGGAAGTGCACTAAAAGCACCGGTAAACAAAGAATTTAATTTGAACAGAAAGTAATTGTTTAAATATAGGACTTTCAGACTTGGCTGTACCGTTTGACAAGTAATTCTGACAGCATTTTGGGTAAATGGTTTAAGTTGCCAAAAAAAAAACAGAACTTGTGGGCGTTGTGTAAACAGCTGATCCAACACAGATACTTTTGATGTACAGTGGATATCTATTGGGTTGAATTATAAATAAAATTATATTTAAATTGATATTTTTCGGTGCAACCATTTTAAACATTTTTAATTTATACAAGCTTATATTTTCATGTATTAATTATAATTTAGAATTTTTTATTATTTTTGGTTTTTTTACAACCGCAAACAATATTTCTGAATTTAATCAGAAAATTCGTATACCGAAATTTGTTGTTAATGAAAATGATCTGCCAATTTTTTACAATTTGATTTAATTAATCCATTGTATTCATTTTGATTTAAGCTTGAAAACCTTGAACTTTTTATTCTAACGATTTTTTACTGACGACACTGCGGCATTTTGCAAAATGTAATATCGCATCATAAATCGATAAAACACAAATGTGTTCATTTCTACCATTGAACACTGTACTCAACCATAATAAAAACAATGAAAAGAGCGTTTATTGCACCTGCGATAGGTAGTAGTAAAGTTTATCTCTGGAGGCGCGATGGGGAGCGTATTTGACCGGCTGATAAGCTGCAGCTACTATCTCCACAAGTACCTTTAAAAACACGCGCTGCAGGTCTACGCTCTCAGTACCGGACTGCCCTCCATTGGAATTGGGTAATCAACGCACAGCGGATCCAAAATGCATTTCGGAGTCTTGGGCAGCGGCATAATCGGTCTTACGACCGCACTGGAACTCCAGAAGGAGTTTCCCACGGCGCGGGTTTCCGTGATTGCGGATCGCTTTAACGAGGACACGGTTAGCTATGTGGCGGCAGGGATCTTCCGCCCGGGCACTAGCTTCATGGGCCCCACCCAGGAAATTACGCAGTGAGTGGGAGATTTTAACATGGTTATAGAGAAATTTACAGCTTCATTTCCTCCCCAGAAAATGGATGACGGATGCCTTTAACTACTGGGATGAACTGCGTCGGTCCAAGGAGGCTCCTTTGGCGGGCGTGTGCCAACTATCGTCGGGGTATATTTACTCCCGGACCTCCCCCTCTATTGTACGGGTATGTTTCTATGCAGGCCTCTATCAGCGATTCTTATCTCACCCAGCTTAAATTGATTAACTATATGTTGCTGCCTTAGAACCACTTTATTGAGAAACTGCTGCCTGTCTACCGGCGTGCCACGGAGGAGGAATTGAAGCTGTGCCACGGCGGATGGAAGTACGGATCATTCTTCACCACCTGCCTCACGGAGAGTCGCCTCTTCCTGCCCTTTGCCACAAAAAAGTGAGTAGATTTTTATCATGTCGCTGGTTTTTGTGAGATGTCTTAATTGAAAGATTTTGATTGACTTAAAAAAATGTTTTAAAACAATAGTTTCTACTTGTCTGTTTTGCTTTTATTAAAATAAATTTATCGATAGCTGAAATATTCCAGTCTAGATATTGAAGAACTTTTTATTTAAGAAGTCTTTAGATTTTACAAAAACAAAATCGAACAGACCTCGGAGTATGTTAAAACAAACAAACTACACATAATAATTTTGATTTAACGGTATTATGCCGATATCACCATAATATTCTGTATTACTTTTTTAACGGCGAATTATGATTATGAACAAGATTTTAGAGTTTGGCAACCAGATATACATTTATTACAGAATTTCTTTCTTCTCCGTAGATTCCTGGAGAACGGAGGCGAAGTGGTGCGTCAACATGTGAAGAACTTCTTCGAGGTTCCACAAAACTTCGATGTGCTGCTCAATTGCACAGGAATGGGAGCTAAAGAGCTGTGTAGCGATCAGCATCTGGTGCCGATCCGGGGTCAGGTGCTCAAGGTGCGGGCACCTTGGGTGAAGACAGCCTTTTACGGCGACTACGACACCTACGTGCTGCCCGGATTCGAAACGGTTACCTTGGGAGGATGTCGCCAGTTCGACAGCTACAATACGGAGTGGTGCAAGTACGACAGCATGGCCATCCGGGAGCGGTGCTACGACCTGCTGCCCAGTCTCCGGAAGGCGGAGATCGTCCGGGAGTGTGTGGGTCTGCGTCCGCACCGCTCAGTTGTGAGGGTGGAGCCCGAACTGATCACAAATCCGGAGGGCAGGCGGCTGAAGATCGTCCACAACTATGGGCATGGCGGCTATGGGGTGACCACGGCACCGGGAACAGCTAAGTACGCCGTCGGATTGGTGCGGGACCTGCTGGCCGGAAACAGCAAGCTGTAGGTGGTAAATTCGTTGTTAATTGTTGGTTATTAAACTCTTTATACTCAGAATCTTTGAACACCGATTTGATTTCACTTTATATACTTAGCCATAAACTGATACCAAATCTCAAGGTTTCGACAAGAGTTGGGTCACTAAGTTTATAGATCTTTATAATGGAAGTCGGTAAATGGATAATCTGTAACAATCATCGTTGTTTTATCTTTGTTGGGTTTATAATTTATAATTTATAATTTTTATTGAATTTATTGATTGTTAGTATTATTATTTTTTCCGAGACCCCTTGCATAAAATTCTTTGACTTCTGAATGGATAAAACTAAATTTAAAATATTACTTTCTATAAAAGATTTTAAATCGGACATATAAATATGGTTTTAAAAACCGGAACACAGTGTCTGTTAGGATCTTCTTGAGACTCATTCCTAGCTGGCCATCTTTTACTCCTCCGATCCTGCAATGTTTAAAGGAACACAAACATTGCCCAATTTGTTGAATTGGCGTTAGAAAGTAATCCATGTTTATATAGTGGATAAAATGGTTTGGTGCCCAGATAGTGTTTCAAATAAAGCGATGTGCCAGTGTTTGGAAGAACTCAAGCTAATTGAGTGCGCATGTCCGGCGCATGAATGGAAAGCTCCCCCGAAATCGCCGCGAAAGCTACGCCCACACACGGACTACCCAGGCACGGAGTCCCATCGATTTTCAGGAAAAGCAGCAGCAGCAGGGAAACTGTGTGGGCAGCAGCAGCCAGTCAGTTAGTCAGTCAGCCAGGTTGAAACAGTTAAATTATGAAAACGTATACAAAACTGGCCCGATTTCGCCGCAGCACTCAATTCGCCGCCTGAGAGCGAACGAAAAATTGTGTGTCCTTTGGAGTCGACGTGTCGAAGCGAAAAGGTAAAACAGTGGCATTGCATCTGCCTCCGCAAAATAATTGAAACACTGCAGCCAGCAAATTCCTGGCCAGACGAGTGTGTCGCGGGCGTGTGAATAATTGATTGGGTAACCGTAAACAATCGAGGCGGAATCGCGCCGTATGTTAGTCCAGTGCCAAGGCTGAGCCGAGACCTTTTCCATCTTCCTTCCCCCAGCACAAGGAGCTGCCATTATCGATTTGTGTGTATGTGCGAGCAACAACACTGCGGACCACTCACCCACACGTCAACAACAGCAGGATAGATTCGCGTGGCAGCAGGATCTGCAGCAGGAACAGCAACAGCAACACCAACTAAAACAGCAGCAACTGCAACATCTGCAGCAGCAGCAGCAACAACAGCAACCGCAGCAACCTCAAGACAGAGTAAGTGCATTTGACACATTAAGTATACGTCACGAGTGACCAAACGCAGGGAACTGGGGGTGCTATTCATAGTTTAAATCACAGGATACCTCAGCAGGTTGCAGGTTAAAGGGTTACAATAGTAGTTCCATGTTGGTCTCCTACGTTGTTGATATTAACTGCGCCATATCATTTTGCCTTGTCAACAATCTGCTTTAAAATTTTCTCAATTTGTCCTTCTAAAAAATAGAAATCAGCTTGTGAAGTGAATAAAACCTCTTGGTTTGTGAACTATTTGAATATCACGTTACTCCGGACATATGCGGGGTGTGTTATTATCTTATTGACAGTAGATATGGTTTATATCTGGTAGTATAGAGGAAATAATTTTTCACAGTTTTCCTAACAACTTTATGTAATTTACAACATAATTAAAAACATAAGGAAAATTAAACTTGTAGTGACACCCATATATTTATTAACTTTTTATGTATAAAATTAAGAACAACCGATTCTACCCCCTACTTACTTAAAATGTAATGATTTTGTTATTTTGCTGTAACAAACAAATTGAACTTATAAAACTGCAATCAAAATCAAGAAATGGCCAAAATATAGACTAAGCTTGGTGGGTTTCCTTTCGAAACTTGGTCCACGGAAACCATTAGAGCCAACATCCAGCCGAGGCTTTTGCCAATATTGGGTTTCTTATCAATAATTAAACTAGCCCGCAGCTGCTGTCCGCCCAACAGCTGCTTAATCATTGGAAATTTGAAACATGAAAGAGCAGTTAAGGGGGTGGGATATAGGGGCAGGCCGGTGGGGGGATGAGCAGCAGCCACCCCCACGCAGGGGGAAAAACAACAGAAAAAATCGATAATTACACGCAGCCGAGCAGATAAAAACATTTCCACACACCGCCTCTGATAAGGGCCGTGTGCCAATTGACTCGAGCCCGTCTGCCGTTGGAGACCTCTTCTTTGTGTCCTCTCCACGGGCTTGGGCCCCTCCAGGATATTTCTGGGCCTGAAGAGGCTTGACAGGAGCGGAGCCCGTCCTTTTGCCAGCAAAATCCTTGACGATGACGCGCGCACTCGGTCGTTCTTCAAGTCGTTCATCAGCAATCTGACAGCATTTTGCCGCTGCGCAACTTCTGATTCTGGGCTTCTGGGGGGACTGTGGAAATGAGGATGAGCGGAAACGGAAGCAGGAGTTGGCTATATACACAAATTATCGACACAATGTCGCTGCCTTGCATATGGAAATCAACCCACCAACAACCATCCCGAATGGCAAACTGTAAGCCGAGACTGCTGTCACTTGCCCAAGCCAAGGCTGAAAGTTTTCAAGGCCGCACTCCGCCGTTAAGCAGTTTCGCTTTGAGTTTTCCCAGTGACGTGACAGGGATAATCAAGTGTGTCCTTTCCCAAACCAACCCGTAATAACACCTCCCCCTCCCCTAGGGTCTCAAGTCAAGGCGGCTGGGGTTATGCTTCACAAAATACAAACGCAACTTGTTTAATCCACGCGCACGCGATTCAATTGGTTCCCGGCACACGGAGCAGCAGCTGGCCCCCAGTTGGCCTTGACCGGTGTCCCACGTTTCCCCTCCAGTTCGGCGTGCAGCTTGGACAAGAAGTGGAGTGTCTATGGGCATCCAGGATAGTTAATTATAGGGAAAATCCTATTCAACCAGCTCGATGCGTACCCCAATGTTAACGCCATCGCCCACGCCGCAAATGGCGTCGGCCTTGCAGCCATTCTGGCCGACCATTCCCACTCCCCTGTTATCACGGATGGTATGGTCCTCATCAGAATCCAGCTGAAGGCCACACTTTCCTCCGACGGACTTGGACTCGTTGCCACTGCTGAAAATCACAATGCCAGGACTGCGCAGCGAACTCTGGCTGGAATTTTGAGAGGATGAAGGGACAATCAGCGGCATCTGGGGCGGATGCTCTTGCTCCCTGGGCGAATCCTTGCGCATCAGGGTGGTCATGCAGATGCTGGTGTTACTGCTACTCGTAATTATGGTCGTGGTATCGATGGTCTCCACCAGCTGGCCCTCTTCCTCGGAGGCAGCGATTGCCGCCGCCTCTCGCTCCAGCTTGCGCTGCCTTTCGAGTTCCCGCTGCCGCTCCAATTCCCTCTGCAATTCCAGCTGCTGCTGCTGCTCCAGGCGCTCCTCCTGCTCCTCCTGAGCCTGCTGCTGGCAGAGCTCCACATGGAGGCGGGCCAGCTGGGCGGCATCATATGGACAGAAGCAGTTGAGGTTCACCACCCGGTTGCCCATGTGCTGGACAGGCCGGCAGTTACGGGCGATGGGTGAAATCCCGTCCGGACCGAGCAGCAAACGGAAGTGCCGCAACTGGAAGTCGCTGATGGCCAGCGACTCGGGGAAGATGAACCACTCGGTGCCCTGGTAGCAGGGCGGATGGGTCAGCGATCCGCCGTACGAGTAGAATCCGGTGCGGAACGCGTACATCAGATAGGAGAGAGGAAAGGGCGGGATCTGGACCCGCTTTCCCGGTTGCTGAACCAATCGCAAGTTCTGCACCAGAGGATCCAAGAACGGATTGTGGGCAGACAACTCGAAGACATACCCGATCATCAGGAGGTCATAGCTACTGGTGCATGGCCTGGGAACCCCCGAGCCCGCCCGGTGCATCACCTGCATCTCCAGCGGAAACTTCCGGTGGTTAATCGTGTGCTCCGATCCCTCGCTGTTGCACCAGCCCCAGTGGAACCGCACCTCCAGGAACGTATAGCTGGCCAGCAGATCGGCACCACTGATCGTGGGTGCGTTTCCATGGAACTGGGCCCGGAGCACCAGCGTTTGGCCCGTATTCTCCAGCTGGATGCTGGCGGGAAGGTCGTCATAGTGGTTCCAGTTGAGCAACTCCCTAATGGCCAAGCGTTGGATTTGGCTCTCATCGATGTTGACTGGACTCTGGAAGCGGGTTTCTTCCTCCAGAGATCCGCCAGTTGTGACGGATTTTGCCAACCAGGTGTGCGGACCATGGTCCATATCATAGGCATATCCCGAAGCAGGATAATTCGAGCAGGAGCTATAAGTGCGTCCAAGTCTCAAGGGCAGCCTCGTCCATAGCAGCATCCGCTGATAGGCGTCTTTTAGCGACTCCTGATCCGCCTGGTAGGCCAATCCCGCCAGCAAACAAATTCCCGTGGTGATCAGTGGATGCTGGACCATCTGTCCCAGGATCTGGCCAATCACCAGGCATATCAGCTGCACCATCAGGCCCAAAACAGTGCCCAGTGTAGTGTCGAACATCTTTATTTAATTAATCCGGACTTGCATGGGTTGTATCAATTGCAGGGTAAAGAAAGTGTCTGCAAACGCAGAAACGTACCAAAAAACAAAATCGAAAAACAAAACTTTCCGCTTCCTTAAGATTTCCAATAAATTTTTCCGATGCTTTTAGGGTCGTAGGGGTATCACTGTTCCGTTTGCGAATGTGTTTATGTGACTGAGACCCGATAGGTTCTACAGTCACATAAACCAGATGACAGATAAGTCAATGGTGCTAGATTGATCAGAACTTATTTTTTTAAATAGAGAAGTAGAAAGTAAGGATCAACCTTTTTTTTTGTCAGCAAAAAAAAAACATCCAATGTGTTGGTACTTGTGAGCCTTTTTTCATAAGTTTTGACCTTTTGGTTCTTTTTTACCATCTTTTCTTGTGTCTGTGGGAATTATCAAAGTAGGCTAGGAACATTTTTACTCAAGGATCTCAACCAACCTAACTCTTAATCCACTCTTTCCAGCAGCGAACCGGTCTAAGCAGACATAATGGCGAGTGGCGGAGACCCCAAGTGGCAGAAGGATGCTGCCGACCAGAACTTCGACTACATGTTCAAGCTGCTCATCATCGGTAACTCCAGCGTGGGCAAGACCAGCTTCCTCTTCCGCTACGCCGACGATAGCTTCACATCCGCCTTCGTCTCCACGGTGGGCATTGACTTTAAGGTGAAGACCGTCTTTCGGCACGACAAGCGCGTAAAGCTCCAGATCTGGGTGAGTAGAAGTATTCGGGTCGCACAATGTGCTGCCTACTATTATGGGCACTTAGGAATTGAAAAACTTGTTTGACCTCGATTAGTTTTGTGGGGGTGATTGTATGAATCATCCGGATGAGAGCAATAAACCGGAAAGCTGAGACATTGATTTATTGATTGGACATCGCCACGGCTGAGGGCGCAGGTGAGCGCACTCTCGAGAGTTCTTGATGTGCGAGTGGGGTGCTGGATGCCAGTCTTGTTTTCTGTCATCAATTAAGAGAACGGAATCACTTAAGCAGTCTCTAGTAGATTAACTAATTAAGTAAAACTTAAGAGATATATTTAAATTGATTAATTTTAAAAATAATGTAGAAAAATTTCCATGGGTTTCACCAGAGAAATTGTATATTTTAAAATATTTGTGCGTACCTTTTATATGTATATAATATATGTATATAAAACTTAAATATTTCTTTAGTTCTAAATTTGTGGGTTAAACAAAATATTGACTATATAGTAAAATAATTACTTTGTATTGGAATAAAAAAAGGTTTGCTCTTATTTTAGGACACGGCTGGGCAGGAGCGGTACCGAACAATCACCACAGCCTACTACCGCGGTGCAATGGGCTTCATCCTGATGTACGACGTTACTAACGAAGACAGCTTTAACTCGGTGCAGGATTGGTGAGTGTTTATGAAACCCAAAAGTGAAAATCGTCCCCGAAACTCACATATGTTTTATCCTGCCCCAGGGTAACACAGATCAAAACCTACTCGTGGGACAACGCCCAGGTTATCCTGGTGGGCAACAAGTGCGACATGGAAGACCAGCGGGTGATCAGCTTTGAACGTGGTCGCCAGTTGGCCGATCAATTGGGTGTTGAATTCTTCGAGACGTCCGCCAAGGAGAACGTGAACGTCAAGGTTAGTAGGGAGTCGTGGGAAGCCCAATATTACCGGTTAAACTCTGGCCGATTTTCAGGCTGTTTTCGAGCGCTTGGTGGACATCATCTGCGACAAGATGTCCGAGAGTCTGGACGCGGATCCGACGTTAGTGGGCGGTGGCCAGAAGGGCCAGCGGCTGACGGATCAGCCGCAAGGCACGCCCAATGCCAACTGCAACTGTTAGAGCCCCGATGGGAGGATTGGAGGACAGAAGGATCCTACTGCACCACAACAACCACATCCGTAACAACCATAGACAACAGAATTTGAAACTAGCTAATTAGTCAGCATTGAACAGGGGATTGCAGCTAATCCTTCAGTAAGCCGACGACAACGGTTCGGATACCGATGAAAAGATAATGATGATATATAGGCGTGCATCCTCTTTTTGATAGGGGGTGGCATTGTGTTTGTATCGATATGTGTATGTATATCCTTTGCGTTCGCTCGCCTCAGTGTAAATGTCAAATGTTATTTAATCCGATGTTTGAATTGTAATTTGTAATTGGTAATTGGTAATTTGTAACTTGTAATTTAATCGGCTGCCGCAGCGAGGAACCATTTGTTGAGTGTGTGAATTGTGTTGAATTTATTCGAATTGAGAGATCGAGATCGATAAATTGAAAAAGAGCAAAGAATTTAACGAAAGTCCGATTTGACGGTGATTCGGCACTAATTAAGCATGCACCCAGAGTGCTGATAAAAGTCATTTGATTTGCGGCCCCACGAGACGGGGTCAGGAGGTCAGTCAGCACGAGTATTTCGAACCGTTCTCCACATCCACATGTATATAAGCTGGCTAAACTGTACAGTTTGAGATGCTTGACGAAACGCACAAAGCTAGCGAATCGGTGAAATCGACAGACAACTAACTATAGCAACACTATCCCACACACCCATGTATATGTATGGATACACACAAGCAAAGAGCACTGAACACACACACCCGGAAACGGATATAGTTATACCCCGAATCCTTGGCTTGGAGCATTCTAGCAAACACAAACAAACCGGCTGAGTGGTAAGCCGTTATTATTAAATATTATGATTATTATTATTATGTACGTATGTATTTATGTATTTATGTAGTGAAATGGAAAATTTTAATGTGTTGCAAATGATAAAAGAAATATATACATCAAATATACATGTATCGCATAGAGTACTACCCAGACCCAGAACTACATAGAGGTAATCGCAGTTTTCTGTTACCCGGAAACCCTATCGAACACCTTCCGAGGGCCAGAGTGACAATAACCCGCAGAAGATCAGAACCACTGAGATCCCCTCCCCCTCGAGGTCAGGCAACCGAAGTTGATTTTCCCCCACCTCACCACCCACTTTTTGATTTCCCCTACGAGACTGCTGCGAACTGAATCCGGACTGCGAGTTACTTGAACCCACCGAGCCAGCTGAGAGATCGGTGCATTTAATTTGCCAGCCCTCCCGACACCCACATTCCGAACCCAACACCCCTTTTATATGCACACACCACCCACTTTTCTACCTGTATACCATATGGTATATGCTATACAAGGCTTTCCTTTGTTACCGCTTTAATGACACAACAAACCGCTGCCGTGACTTAATTTGAACGAAGATTAAGCGGGGACAAGGACTTTGACTTTGGGGGCTAAAACTGCTGAATCTGAATATGTAACTGAATATATATATATATGTATTTGCCAATGCTCGTTAATGTTAAATATGTGTACAAGCAGAGTTTCACTTGAATTACGATTAAATTAAAGGCATATCGCTGTATTATAAATACCCAAAAACGAAGACAAAACGAAATGGAAAACCGAACCCGCACCCAGAAAAATGCCAGGTAAATCCACACGAATTGCACAACGAGTTGCTAAGTGCTAGAGAGGGAAAGAGGGGAAGGGAACTGGGATATGGGATATGGGATATGAGAAGGAAAGATTATGGAGGAGATTCTATATGAAAATGCCTTAAGCCAGCGACGCAGGTCGCTGATTGGTCTTTTTGGCATTCGAACTGTTTTGTAAAATAATTAATCATACAACTTGCATAACCACCTCTTCAAGTATTTGTCTTTGTATTCCTGTGTGGATTCGCTTTTAGTCAAGCCCCAGTTAAATAATCCAACCCAATTAAACTAAACCGAACTTAACTAAAACTAAAACTAGACCGGAGTAAAATCAAAGCAAATAACACAAATGTAAACGAGAAACAATTGTTGATGAATTCGTGCATAGGCATAACGCAAACATTTTTGCGCTACATTGTTGTCATTTAAACCAATACTTAGCATATTGATTATTGCATTGTGTACTCAGCTAAACCAAATATTTGTAAACCCTATGAAAACAATTCCAACTCCAAACATAATGGCATTATTTGTATTCGATTTGAATTGCAACAAGAATAACCCAACTAGGAAATGTATACAAGAACGTCAAAATAAAATAATTCAATATATTATTCAATGATGGTTTTTAAACACTAACACACATCTGCATACCCGTACTTATGAGGATACTAACATAGATATACAGATACACACATATATACATAATATACACATAATGGTATTGAAATTATTGTATTCCCATAATAAAATATATGCAAAAGGTGTATGGTAAAACAAAGAATTCATTTTTGTGTCTCTCTATGGTGGTTAAATAAAGGTACACCGATGATATTTATGTATTTTTCAGCTTAGTTTTATAAAACTGTGATCTCGTAAGGAAAATTGATCAGTCAATTTCAAAACGGATGGAAGTTTTAAATTAAATTTTAAAAAACGTTACGCATATCAATAGAGAATCATTTAAGCTAATTTTTGAGATATTTTAAAATAAAATCTAATTTAGATTGGTAAATATATGAGACCAGAAAAGAAACTGTATATCACATTTCAGACAATTTTCAGTTGATATCCTTTCTATAAAAAGGTAAATAAAACTAAAAAGGTAAATCTTTACCTAAAGGGACTTCAAGTTAAGGCATGCCAGAACTAGAGCTCCATAAATATTTTACATATAGCGGTTAAGGCACTTCACTATTGACCTATTGCCAGAAGGCAAGCTTTTATATATACAAACCAGAGCAAAGTTCCCAGGACCTTTACAAAGTTTAAAACAAGGTTAGCTTATTCTCCATATATTTTACACATTTTATTCATATTGATGTACTTGTATAATTTACAATTAAATAAGTCAATTCACATAAATATTATATAATGTGTGCCACATTCGAGCGCAATTCGTAGCTTACGTCGGCAGTTGAGTGGCAGTTGTGTGGAGTTCAAATGCAGTAAGTTCCGCTTATGAATTATTTATAAATTGTACACAGTTTTCAGGGACATGAGTGGCTATTGCTGAGTCGTGGTTCATACTATTGAGCAAGCTTTTTCCATCCAGGATTTCGATATAATAGACAGATATATGTGTACGAGTATATATTGCAGGATATGTCTATGCTGCGCTTGTGTGTGTCGCCTTTGTGTTCTATATTTCCCATAAATACGTGCGGGTGTCCAAAATTTATTTTATTTTTGCCGCGTATGTGGATTTTTTATTGTACATTCGCAACGTTCGTACGGATAGTAAATGCTATCAATTAAAACTAACTCCCAAACTAAATGGCAACGTGTGCGGGTGCTGGCAAATGAATTGCAAACTTTTCGCTGATTATTTTTCATGTACAAGTTCCCCTTCGACTTCGACTAATTTGGCATAATAAGCTCGAGGCACACAACGTTCTCCTACCTTAGAATTTGTTTACTTGCAGTTTGCTCTAACTAATGACGCCATGAGAGCCCGAAATAGCCCTTTTATTCCGATTCTATATCGGGCGTGGGGCTGGACACATGTTAATTGGACCTAAGTGCATGAACTTGCTGGCTGAATGTTTTGTGGGGCTTAAAGTAAATAGCGGAACGTAAAATGCATAAAATCAGTCTGACTCTTGTTTTAATACATAATTACATATTATAATTTATAATACATACACAAGGCTAAAGCTGAGTATTTCTGTGTCTGTGTGCATACGATTATTATGCAATTACAAACGAACTGTAACTGGCGCTTTAAATTATGTAAATGCTAAGGGATCGTATAAATAAATATTTATGCCCATATTCGTACGAGTAAATGTAGGTATGCTAAGCTGTATTTACGTAAAATTAAGTGGGTGCGGGTATGTACAAAGTTTCGATGATGGACCTATGGCAGCTGCTCCACGAAGTATGCTGTGGATTTTGGCCAGGAGCTCAAGCCTCCGTATGGATCCTGTAATGCGGCTTGCGTCTAATGGTGGCAAAGTATTGCGTCTGTTGCTGCTGCTTGGTGCGTTGCTGCTGCAATTGTTTCAGGTGCTGCTGCTGCCTCTGCCTTTGTTGCAGCTTTAATTGTTGCTGCTTTTGCTGCTGGGATAGTCGTCACACTGTGGTCTCGTCATCATCAATATTCCGCCTGTTTGCGACAGAAAATTGCCATTAGTGGGGTTGCAATACATATATACCGGAATACTTCTATGTTTTCATCTATACTACACTAAATTACGTGCTTCAATACGAGGTGCAACTCTTTGATAAGTTTCAATTTGTGGCATGCCAGGGTGTCTCATAAATTGCATGCGGATACGTGTTTAATGTATAGTTAGGTTTAAGCGAAAATTTATGCAACTAAATTATCAAAGTGAAAAACAAATATAAATCCATGTGTTAGCATGTGTTGGTGCGTTTGTATTTGAGGTTCATTGTGTTTGCGTGAGGTGTTTAAATGTGGCTAAGTTTATTTGGTAAAACCCAGTTAATTGCCAAGTTATTCAAGTGTAATTAATTATTATAAACATTTCGGTGATTGGGTCTATTATGTCCACTCAAATTGATATTTTTTTTGTGAAATCGAACCTGGCTTTTAAAACTGAATATTATTTCTTTTTAAATTTGAAGTAAATTTGGTATGACTAAGGGTCCCCTTTATTGTAATATGAAAAGAAAAGTACTAATTATTTCCCAGAATATTCTATAAATTATATTCTCCAAAATTATTCATATGGTGCATTCTTAATATAAAAAGCCCAACTCCTTACTTTAAAAACAACAAAGTCTATGTAGTTCAATCATTATATGGCAGCTATAAGATATAGTCGGCCGATCCTTATGAAATTTGGTAGGTCGAATTGACCTAACCAAATATAAAACCATAGAAAATCCAATTTCTTTTTTTAAAAAACAAAATATGGCATTTCCGAACGTTAAGTTATATGGCAGCTATAGACTATAGGGTCCCGGCTCGTTCCGACTTGTATACTACCTGAAATAGAAAAGACAACTTTTGGGAAAGTTTCAAGCAGATAGCTTTAAAACAGGGAAGTTTGAGAAAGGACGGAGAGACGGACAGACGGCGGACAGACGGACAGACGGACAGGCTAAGACCCCTGGTGATCGAAAAATAACTTTATAGGGTCGGAAATTCTCCTTCACTGCCAAACTTTGACGAAAATAATACCCCCAAAGGGAAAAAAAAGAAACTAAAATTAAATTCTTGTTTCTTCAAGAATTTGGTAGCGTACCTTACCCTTGCAATTAATTTCTAAAAGCTAGGATCGGATTCAGCTCACTAAAACCTAATTGGAATACCCCTCCTAATTCAGCAAATTTTTAATGTCAGCTAGTGAAATAAACGAACTAAAGGGGACTCAGTTTTAAGGTAATATTTCACATCGATTTGGTGTTTCAATCTGCTGCTAGTTCACTTGCCACTTTGATTGGATTTATTGAATAGCTTTTAGGTGGGCAGCTTTATGTTAACTAAGACTAACTGAGGGGGGTAACTAAGATCGGTTATTAGTCCTTTTTACTCTATATACCATATTGTTAGCGACCAGGGATACTGTTGCCTCTGTTGCCTGCGATGCAGCCAAATAATGTCGAACTGTGGAGATGTTCAGGTTGTATATAACGTCTGTTTTTGTAGCGGGTGAAGTGTGGGAATAAAGGGGAAATGATGGGTGTTGATGTAAACAGTTGTAAGTTTGAAATTAATAAATGTCATAAATGCGTAAACTCAGTATGACACGTTCCAATTAAATGCAGCACGAAATTCGAACATTCGGATTACAAATTAGAAAGTGTGAAATTCAACTGATTTGATTAATCAAACTAATGAACAAACAAACATTCAGGGCGGCAACGGGGTGTAAAATAATACAAAAATCAATATTAAATATTTACATTCAATTTAAAATGGTCAAATCAAATTAAAACAGGTGCACTTTGGAATAAGTTAAAGAGCTCGAAACGAATCGAATCACTTTTATGCACACTCGAGCTACGGAAAATGAACAAAAAAGCTAACCGAAGACGATGATGGAAAGTGGAAAATGGGAAATGTGATGTGCGACTTGAAAATGCATTTTACTTGTGGTTTACCTCTGAGCTGTAGTTGTAGTAGTTGTAGTTGTGTGGTTGTTGTTGATGTTGTTTGATTTGGTTGGGTTTTTGGGTTTGGATGGATGGTAGCATTTTGTAGCATTTTGCATTACGTCGAATTTTCATTTTGCAGTTGGATTTTTTGTTCGTTTATAAGTGTGTTTGTGGTATGCGTATGTGTTGGGTTTATTTGTCAAAAGAGAGAGAGAGAGAGTGAAAGCACGGTTTTGGAGAGAGAATAGAAGTGAAAGATAGTCAAATTAGATTTGCTTCAAACGTTCCCAGGACCAGCTGAAAGGATATGGACATGTATACGTATAGAAAAAGGTTTATGAGTGTGTTTGTGTAAGCGTGCAGTGAGTGTGTGTGTGTGTGTGTGTGAGTGAGAGAGAGAGTTTGTACCATATTCATTTGCATTGTTTTCAGTTTTCATTGTTGTGGGAAAGTTGAATGGTACAAAGGGTGTATGTCATTGTAGTTGTTGATTCGAATGCCATAAAGAAAAGAGAATCAGAAACAAAGGACCACAGATTAATTGCTGGAATCAAAAGTGGAGAACGGGCAGGAGTTCTCCAACCAAAACTAATCATCTAGGCCAACAGAAAAATCAAATCAACAGACAGGATGGGCTGCATATGGAGCACAAAAAGCATTAACTGGCCACCAGAACCACAACGAAACTGAGACCAAAACAAAAACCGAAACCGAAGGTAACAAAAAAGCAGGTATGTCACAGAACTCTCCCAATACCAAATGTTAATCAAGACTAAAGTCAGGAGTTTTGGAAGCTAATGTATGAAAAAGGATTCCGAAGTCATGAGAAAATGGGTTCCAAACCCTGAAAACTCCCTGACACTAATCTGCAGAGATTTCTGTGACACACCAGAAGATGATATCCTCTTGATCCGTTTGGGAAACTCACTCTGTATCCGTGATGCTGGTCAGTGGCCCCAGTGGTTGCATGGGAGCCACCATGCTGGAGGGCGGTGAGGAGGCTCTGGAACTGTGTCTGGAACCCCCGTTTATCGTGTGCCTTGCGAGTAATCCCGGATTGTTCACATCGTTGACCAGGCCCAAGCCAGGTGGCTGCATCAGCTGAGATCCGTGCAGCGAGGGTGGTTGCGTGTGGCTCAGCTTCCTGGCGGGCAGATGGTCCTCCTCGGCGGTGTAGGGGAAGTGGTAGCCATTCTTATCCGAACCCTCGGAGAGCCTGTCCTGCAGATGGTGTTGTTGTTGCTGCAGTTGCTGCTGCTGGTGCTGTTGATGTTGCTGTTGCTGGTGGTAATCGTTCTTTAGCAGCGAGTGCACCGAGTGCAGGGAATCAGTGGTATAGGTAGGCTGCCTCTTTAGGCTATAATGACCATCCCTGGACCCATAGATATCGGGAGTTATGCGATCTTTCGAGAGGTACGGCGACTCCGACTTGGCACCCAAGTAGCCACTACCCAGCGTTCGCTGCTTGTCGTATATATTGTCACTCAAATACGCCGCGTCCGGATGGAAACTCCTCATGTGGCCAATAGTCTGGGAGCCACTTCCGCCGCCGGGATAGTCCTTCTCGCTGCCATAGTGACTGGGCGGCTTGTAGGAGCCATACTTGTCCGGATACTCGCCCCTTCGTCCGTACAGACTGTCCTCATAGCCGTCTCGTGCATCCCGAATATTTTCTAGGATCGAGGGAGGCATGTTTATTTTGTTATGATGCTGCTGCAAGTAACTGGTGTCCGTGAGATCAGGATTGGGCAGGGGATTTGGCGAGATTGTCATCTTGGCCTGCCCGTGAACATGTTCATTGTCGGACCCCGTGTCCTGGGACCATCGTCCAATGTTCGGCGGAGATTGCAGGTAACCATCCGGCAGCTGACTGGACCAACGGGGAGCATACACGGGCTTACTGACGCTCGGGAAGAGCTGCGGACTCTGCACCACATTCAGTTCCGGCGGGGTGGTGGCCTGCACGTGCTCCGTGATGTTGGGTAGATATGCGGGCGTCGAGCTAACGGCCGTGCTGCGATGTGTGCCGGAGGACCGGGCAGTTCGGGATTCGTCATCATCGCTGGAGTGACTACTGGCCAACTCCAGGGATCTTCCGTCCGTTTCGGAACCGGAGTCTGAGTCCTTCCTCTGGCGTCGCGATGGCTTCTCCTCGCCACCCCGACTCCGTCCGGTTGTGGAGGACTCAAAGCCCCTCAAGAAACTGGGAGCATCGCTGGCTGAATTGTAGTTCGAGGTGGAGGTGGAGGTCTGCCTCAGCTGTCCATCGCTATACGGACTCGAACTCGTCTTGGCCGTACTTCTCGAGGTAGTGCTACTAGCACTGATGCCTATATTCCGCCGCGTGGTGGTATCATATCCACCTGCCAAGAAGTTGTTTGGTCTCGGTGCTCCATTTACGTTGTGCGAGCTATTGCTGACCACCATTGAGGAATCTAGAAGGGGCACCTTGCGGCCCATGCATCGTAGACAGGTGCGCTGGAGGTTCTCCCTCACCCGCTTGTTGATGATGCAGTATCCAATGAGGCAGAAGAGTGCATGCAGGAGCACTACGCCGGAGAGCAACAGGCTCAGCAACTGGGAGTGCTCTGAAGCGGCTAGCACCGCCAGTACCCACATGACCCCCATCAAAGGTAGCGACACCACCGACAGCCAAAGGAGGGTACGCAAATTGCCAAATCCGAGGACGTGATCTTTGAGGGTAAAGGCGGCTTTAACGGATACAAATAGGATCAGCAGGTTCACCACCGACATTCCCGCAATGGGACCCACAAGCCACCACACCACAGGTTCGTAGACTGACAGCCAGCAGCTAAAAAAGAGAAAGAAATTTAATTAATAACTGCTTTTAAGAAGAATATTTAAACACAATATGTACAAAAATATTTAAATTAGGTACAAATATTGGAACATACAAAATAGTACTTGAAGCCGGAACTTGAATATATAAATTCAGAATATCAACTTCTTACTTTTTAAAGACTAAATTTTTTTTGGATCTGTTTAATCTCTTTGATATACTCACAATAAGCTGTTTCCATACTCGTGAGCACGAACTCCGACAGAAAGTCCGACGACGATGGCTGGTGCGCCGTAGCCCATGGCGAAGTAGAAGCCCATCGGTCCGTGGTTAATGTCCCGCATCTCGGTGAGCATCCTGTAGAGATGTACGCAGTCCACCGTTGTCCAGGCGAAGGCCGCCAGCCAGAAGTAGTGCAGGCAGATGGCCGTCAACTTGCAGGGGAACTCGCTCTCCAAAAGCTGTCTTCGCGACTGCATTCCCACGAAGAAGAGCAGCTCGGCGCAGAAGACGCACAGCACGATGTTCTGATGTATGGTGTTTGAATTGGTTTGCTGGCCGCGTAGAAGGGCCAATGCCAGAAGAACGCCCAGAAGCAGAGGAAGGGAAACTAGAAAGGCTGAGTACGAGGTGATCTGCACTAGGAGCGAAGGTTCCGGAATGTCCTCCGGATCAATCACGTCCACGATCACCGCATAGCTGGAGATGTGGGTGCAGCTGCAATTCACCAGGATCACTTGTTGTGCCGCCGGATTGAAGTCGCCATCGAAGTCAGGAATCTCAGTCTGACAACCCAATCGGGTCCACTGGTTGGTGAAGGAGTTCCAGCGCACGCACTGGGGGTTAGAACGTGGTCCGAAGCGAGCGGAATCCACATCTAGCCACATCTGGAGCTTTATGGGTTGGGCGAGATGAGGCGACCCCAGGGATCGATAAACCACATGCTCCGCCTGCTGCATTTGCTCTGATGGATATGTGATTTCTACCTGTCTCTTGACCAAACGTCGATCTCTGTACACGGCTTCGTTCTCTCCCTTTGACTGCTCCTCGCTTCCTGTGGAGCTTACTCCTTCATAATTTGGATTGAGCACCTCGGGAGAGTCTGGAGATATGATCTCCTCGCCGGAGTTTCCGTGGAACTCAATGTCGTCCGGGTTTAGGTGAATGTGGGGCTCGCTTTCTTCACCATCTTCGCCACTCGAAGCCTCCTGTTTTTCTCCAGAAATAGCTGGTGGAGGAATTTCATGGGCTGTTATCCGTATGTCCTCAATCTGCTGTTCGCTACTGCTCGTTGGAGCTTTAGGCACATCGAACACCTCCACAAACTGTTGCTCAGCGCTGCCAGATGAAGAGGATGAGGTTGAGGATATCTTTCTTGAGGGAATCTCCAGGCGTTGCGTGTCCTGTTCCCGCTCCATAGACGGCACTAAAATCTGGAGGGAGAGAATGGGAGTAGCCAGTTCGACGTCCACACCCCAACGACGGGTTATGGTCTCATCATACAGGTCGGGCAGCAGCTGACCAATATCCTTGTATTGTGCATATGCCACGATGGCACGGTGGTCATGGCTACCACCCCTCCGTGATGATACCTCATCGCTTTCCGGGGGCGTGATTCCCAGCATCTCCAGCGGCACTAACACTTTGGTGTGCTGATCGAACTTGCGCCGATCCAAGATGTAATTGTTGTACTTGGGGAAGCTGATCACAGGTCGTTGGCGGGCCGAGTGTTGCAGGAAGCCACTAGTGTCGGGCAGCACCACACTCTCTGTGGTAAAGGCATTTGGCTTGAGGTACTTGCTCCGGTGGTATTCGCTCAGCTGCTCCGGCTCGTAACCAAATAGGGATTCCGTAGTGACGATGTCCAGGCCGAGGGCCATGTTTGGCTGCACAATCTCGAAGGGACTGGTGTATGTATCGTGCTGGGAGCGAGCTAACACCACTAGATACTTGTTGAATGCATCCACCAGGTCATCGGGTCCTCTCTGAATTAGTTCTGTGGCCCTTCGCCACTCCGCCTCGTATTTTCTATCCAAAATAACACTGGCCGCATCTACAAGATTTTTGATAAAATACTTATCCTGACTGTGCGACAAGTTCAAGCCGCTCTGCATGAGCTCGTAGTTGATAAGCTCCTGTAAGAGACCCTCGGTAACCAGGAGATCCGCTCCGTAGAGACGATCATGGCTGAATTTCAGTTCATCGGAGAGGTAGTCCATTTCAAGTTCGTGAGACCAGACGTTTCCTCCGTTGCTCATCAGGAAGGATGATTCCATTTTGTAGCGCCTGTTAGGGCGTCCGGATCCCGGGGTCTTCTGATCCTTGCCAGAACCCCTTCTGTCCACCGTCTCGCAGGCCTTTCTCAACTGCTCCGCCATTTTTATCGCCACAAAGGAGTTGAGCTCCAATTCTAGCTTCTCCAATTGGGACAACTGACGTCGCAGCTCCACGAAAGGCTCCGAAGTGCAGTTGTACATGTCCGGTGTGTTCCAGCTTCCCGACTGAGCATCGCAGGTACGCTGTCCTTTGCCTCGAGCGGGCAGCGGACATCCCTCGATGGCCACTCCGCCGAGAGGAGTCCTTGGCCACCAGACGCCACCGGCGAAGGAGCGAGGACAGGCGTCGTAGACCACTTCGCAGCCGCTGAGTGTGACCTCGGCGTAGGGATTGGAGCAGGAGTCGCATCTCCGCCCGATTACTCCCTCTCGACACTCACATTGTCCCGTCAACGGATTGCAGGCTCCACTAAAGCTCCCGATTGAATAGCAGTCGCAGGAGAGACAGGCGGTTTCGTTGGGCGGTTGGTAGTGGTTCGTTTTGCAGTAGCATTGTCCGGTGGTTTTGTTGCAATCCGGGTGGTATCCCTGGGCCAAATCGCACCTACACGGACCACATACCCGTTCGCCCCACCAGCCGCCGGGACATGGTTGCTGAAGTTCCCTTTCACAATAATCGCCATGTCGGGAGCTGCTGTTGCATTCGCATCCATAACCACGGGACAAACTTGTGTTTGCTCTGCAAACTCCAGAGGCACAGGGTCTCACCGTGCAGATGGGGGTACAATCCGCACCCACGAATCCTGAGTCACACTCACAGGTGGACAGATCCCAGGTACTCTGGCAAGACGAGTGGTTAGGACAATGATCCGGGCACTGTGCCCGTGACTCGCAGCCATCTTCAACATTCTCCCTGATTGTTGGACGTGAAAGAACCGATTGTCCTGCTCCAATACGCACATCCTGAATACACCCCTCAAAGGGAGAAGCTTCGGGAACTGATCCAATGCTGCCGTCTGGACTGCCCATCACAATCTTGCCCACATAGAGCCCCTGAACCTTCTGTGACATGGGAACCGACCCAGAACGTTGCCCATAGTCCACGGAGAAGTGGATCTCAGAGCCCTGTTGCCAGCGAATCTCCACTCTGTGCCACTCGCCATCGGACAGGAAAGCTCCAGCCAGGAACATGGGTTCCCCATCGAAGATGTAGTAGAGCACTCCTTGTCTTAGGCAAACTGCCGCCGAACTGTTCTGACCTATTTGAATTTGCAGGAGGAAAGCCTCTTTCTGCCGTGTGCGCAGCGAGAAGGAAGTGGTCCACGGCAGTTGGATGGGCCGGAGAAGAGGGTTAAAGCTGAGGCTCCCGTCTCCTGAGAAGCGCCATGGAGCTGGTATATTGTCCTGACAGCTGTTACCCGCATATCCTTCGGGACATTCGCAGGAATATGTTCCCCAGCCCTCGCGACAGGTGCCACCATTGAAACAAGGCCCGGATTGACAGAGGGGAGCTTTCTGCGGACAACCCGCTAGAGTTCCATTATCAGCCACGTATGAGTTCAGATCAATAAATCGATCATCGATGCGTAAGTCCGAGATGCAGCCCACAAAATCGCGGTTGGCCACCGGGAAATGGGCTGGGATGCGAGGAAGTCCGCCCACTTGCAAGGGTCCCGTAAGATCCAGGAAGCGATGGCAGGTCTCCGTAAGCAGAGAGCAGCGCTTGTCCAATTTCAAAGTAGTGCGATTAGCGCAGCTCCATCTGTCTCCCAGTTGTCCCGAGAGAGCAATGGCTGTGTCGCAATCATCCAGCACTAAGGTGACACTGCGGTTCAGATAGACCACCTCAACCTGGTGCCATTTTCCGTCAGAAACCTTTGTTTCCTGCATCACCGAAACCCTTTCGCTGTGGTCGCCCAAAGAGTATGAGAAGCTCACGTGACCTTCATGAATCTCCAGAGCAATGAAGTCGTGCAGCTCGTTGTATCTTCCGTTGTAAAGAAGCAGTCCATTTTCCTGCACTGTGGCAAAGCGGAGTTTGAGGTTAAAGCGATGCCTTTGCTTGAGACTTTCGAAGGTGAGGAAGGAGTTGCGCCCAAAGGCACGGGCTCTCAACTCACAAGTAGCTGTATAAGGAGGTGGTTGGGAGCTAGGATAATTACTCAGGCAAGACAACCCTCCCTCACATGTTTCGGATGGACAAGGACGCAGCTGACCCACTCCAGTCTCACAATTCAGACCCGTGTGCGAGGATGGACATACGCAGGTGTAGCCGCCTTCTCGCCTCACACAGGTTCCTCCATTTTGGCAGGGATCCGAGTAGCAGAGATCCACCTCCGTATCGCAAAGGTAGTGCTCTTTGCTGCCCGTAAAGCCTTCCGGACAGGAGCAGGCGAACGTATTAACTGGATAGATGGGCCGGAAGAGAACCGTGTCACTATGGATGAACTCGGAGGCATTGCCGAACTTAAGGACAGTTAGGCACTCCTCGAAATTCAGACATGGTTCCCGCACGCAGAGATTATCGTCGAAGGGAAGCACCTCCACGGTGGCCAAGCGAGCTAGGATGGCCCTGTTCAGGTAAACTCGCTCTTGAAGATACTGCGGAGTGTAGAACTCCTCGTGGGACACATCCGGTCGGCGAGCTGAGAAGCTAACGTTCAAAATGCGTGAGCTCACGTCCGTGTCGTCCTGGATGCTAAACACAAATATATGCTCCTTGGGACAGGGAATAATCGCAGCCAGTCCGTCAAGGAAAAAATTAAGCAATGGTGAAAGAAAAGCCTCCTCTGTCATCTCATTTAAACGGACTGTTACCGAATTGAAGAGCATATCCTCGGTGATAAGACGTACTGATAGCTGCATAATCGCCTTGGCCTCGTTGATTCCATCCGATACGGACACCTCCATAGTGGCAAACTTGGGCACATTGGTGTTTAGCTGGGGACTTAGTACCAATCCTCCTGAGCTGCTGTTTAGACGTAACAAGTTGGCATTGTTGCCCGATAGTATCCTGTAGTGTAGCTTGTCGCTCACATCCGCATCGAAGGCTGGAATTCTGCCGATTTCACCGCTGGGGAAATGATCGCGGAAGTTGTTGAAGATCACCTGGAAGTCCCGTAACACCGGAGCATTATCATTAACATCCGTGACTAGGATCTCAATGTGGGCATCGTTACGCAACGGAGGACTTGCTGCTCGAACCACCAATTCAAAACGCTTTCGCGAGGATTCATAGTCCAGTTCCGTCATGGTGAGCAGTTGGGCTCGTTCAGAACCAGGTCGAGTTACTAAGGAGAAGGCATTGGAGTCGTCGCCGCCGATGATCGAATAGTGTACCACTGCATTAACGCCCTCGTCGGGATCGTGGGCGTGAATCTCACCCACGACAGATCCCACTGGCGAATTCTCCGGCACATATAGTGTGATCTTGTCCGAGGCAAAAGTTGGTGGTGAATCGTTGACATCCTCCAATCGAATTTGCACCTCTACGGTACTGGAAAGCGGTGGTGATCCCTTGTCCACGGCAATAGCGGTCAGATGAAAGACAGCCACACTCTCCCTGTCCAATCCCTTATTGGTGCGAATAGTACCCGAAGTGGGATCGATCACAAAGGAACCGTCCTCTACGTCGCGGTCACCTAGCAGGTATTTGATACGTCCATTGAGCCCTACGTCCGGATCGCTGGCTGCCACCTGGATGACTGAAGTGCCCACGAGAGCGTCCTCCAAAATGGAAGCCTGGTAAAGCGGGCTTTTAAAAGCAGGAGCATTGTCATTGACATCGGTCACACCGATCTCCACGTCGGTGGTGTCACTCAGCGATGGGTTACCACCATCCTTTGCAGTCACGGTAAGTAGATATCCACTGGAAGTCTCTCGATCCAGCGGAGCATTAGTTACAATGGCACCCGTCTGCGGGTTGATCGAAAATGGATCCGGACTTCCCAAGCCGTTGATGCTCTCCTCATTCAGGGAGTAAGTGATCTGTGCATTCACTCCAACGTCGCTATCGGTGGCGGATACCACCAGCACAGTGGTGCCCACTGGTGCGTCCTCGAACACCGAAGCGCTATAAGGAGCATTCTCGAATATGGGAGCATAGTTATTGGCATCCGTAATGTTTATGTGCACGGTGGCAGTATCAGAACGACCTCCGGAATCGGTGGCCGCTACGGTAAGCAGGAAGCGTTTTTCCTGTTTGTAGTCAAGCGATTGGGCTATGGTAATCAGACCACGCCCATTCTGCGATGTGATCGCAAAGCGACCTCTTGTATTGCCTGTGGTGATCTCGTAATGCAAGCGTGAGTCCTCATCCGGATCGGTGGCTGTGACTGTGGTAACCGGCGTGCCTGGCGGTTGATCTTCGCCCACGTTAGCCTCGTAGTACTTGGGGTTGAAGGCGGGATCGTTGTCGTTCACATCCTGCACGGTTATCACCACCGATGAGCTGGCCGACTTGGGGGGTACACCTCCATCCTTGGCCACCACCTGGAAGGCAAAGCGACCCTGCTCCTCGCGATCCAACGGCTTGATGGTCTGAACCCAACCGGTTCGAGGATCCACGGCTAGCGGAAAGTTGTCATCTCTCTCGGAAATACTATATGTGATCTCTGCATTCGCACCTTCATCGGAGTCGTAGGCCTGCACCCTTATGATATTGTAACCCACTGGGACATTCTCCAGGACGCTTTCCTGAAACTGCGAGGTGTAGAACCTCGGGGCATTGTCATTTGCATCGATTACGTTTACCAGGAGCTGGGTGGTATTGCTCCTTGAGGGACTTCCTCCATCTTGGGCACGAATCACTAGCCTATAACTGCGTACACTCTCGTAATCCAGCGGCTTCACAAGACTCACATCACCGGACATAGAGTCGATGGAGAACTGTGACTGCGTATTTCCACCAATAATTGCGTATCGAATGGCTGCATTGTTGCCTTGATCCGCATCCGTGGCCCGAATGTGGGCCACCGTATTATCTTCAGTGCCGCCCCACTGATCCTCCGGCACTTGGACCGTGTAGGTACGTTCACTAAACTGTGGGTAGTTGTCGTTGTCATCGAGGACTTTCACTTGGACACTGGCAGTGGCTGTCCGTCGTTCGCTCTGCGCTGATGCCATATCGGCAGCGGTCACCAGCAGGTGGTAGCTGTCCGATGTCTCCCGGTCCAGACTGCTCCTCGTAGAGATTACGCCCGAGCGAGAGTCGATCCGGAAAATGGGCATCTCTTGATCCTGGGCCAATCCTGCGCCATCTAGTTAATAGTCAAAAATAAAAAAAGAAAAATTAAAAATCGGAAACAACAGAAATCTTTTATGTATATTTATCACTTAAGAACTTACCAGTCACTGCCTCGATTCCGTATTCGATTTCCGCATTCTTTCCAATATCCTGATCGGTTGCACGTAGCGTGATAACCGTAGATCCCACGGTGGCTCCTTCGCGGATACTCGCCTCGAACTGCTCCGCCTCAAAGGTGGGACTGTGGTCATTACAGTCCAGCACGTTCACCTGCAACGTTGTGGTACCGGACCGCGGTGGAAAGCTGTCGTCGGTGGCCACCACCCGGAAGTAGTGCACGTCCATGAGCTCCCGATCCAAGCTGGCCGAGGTGGTAACCACACCAGTCCGCGAGTCCACCTTAAACAGGGACTGAGAGCGGGAGTCCAGCAGAGAGACCATGGAGTAGACTACTGGTGAATCTTCGGGATCTCGGGCCCGCACAGTGGTCACTGCAGATCCTGCCGGTTGCTCTTCGAGCACCGAGGCCACATAGAGAGCCTGTTCGAAGTAGGGTGACTGATTGCGCAACTCCCTCCGCACCCTTCGAGCGATATCCGTATCGTTGAACTCCTGGTGGTGGTACACGATCTTCAGACGATGGTCTGAATCCACAATGTCACGTCGATCGCACCGGATGTTGAAGGTTATGCTCACTTTCCACATGGACTCCGCGATGCAGACATCCCTGCTGGCCACCAGATCCCTGCTCTGGTGCTCGATGGCGAATCGCTCATCGTTCACGTCCAGGAAGCTAACCTTGCAATGCTGGCAAACGGATCGCGGCAGAAAGGCATTCAGGCTGTTGATGAACTGCGATCGTCTCAGACAGATCTGGTTCCACTTGTCCGTGGTGTGGATTGCATACGAGGCGTACGTTTCCGAGATCCACTGCTTGGCATCGGAAATCCGGCGGTGCAGTGCGGGTTGCAGATGCAGCGGATCCGCCGTTCCCACAGCTCTTCGCTTCCGACTCAGTATCCTGTGCCTCATCTCGTTGTCGAAGCTGTCGCCGAAGATGAGATCGCCGGCTCGAAACTCCGTGCTGTTGTGGCGGAATACCTCCTCCAGCTGGTTGCCATTCAGCTGGACTATCTCCTGGGTGGATCGCCTTCGCCTGCGCTTGGAGTAGCCCGTATTGTCCTCCTCCTCGTAGTGGTGGTGGTGCAGCTCCTGCTCTATTCTCCTATCCTCGTTGCAACTGTGACCTGAGACGAAAATTCGCACCGGCAGGCTATAGTAATCTATGCTGCGCAGTCGGTTCGAGGTGGAGTCCACGTAGAAGGTGAACAGATTCGGGTAGTAGATGCCATCGCATTTGAGGGCCTTCCTCAGCTGAATCTGGCCATCCTTGTGGCTAACTGAGACCAAGTGGTGCACAAAGTTGGCCGACTTGTGGGCATTGATCTTGTAATGGCGCTCGGAGCCAAGTTTGTAGACGGAGGCGTTGAAGATTACAGTGCCGGGAGGCGTGTCCTCGTGCACGATAATCAGGTAGCTCTTGACGAGCGATGATTGCAGGAGGACCACAAGGACCAAAAGGAGCAGGCCGTGGGGCCACCGGGGGATCTCCCTCGGCTGCATGACTCAACCACGTGGCCTGATTGCGGTCGGTGTGTGTTCGGTTCCTGCCCGTGTGTGTGGCGAGTGTGTGTTGATGTGGGTGTGGTGCGAGACCCAACAAACCACAGTGCAATTAATGCTCCTATTCAATTATCATCGGTGGGCGGCGCTGCGGGCGTGGCCATCTGTCTGAAAAGGAAAAGAAAATTTGGAGAGTCAGTAAGGTCAGGGTGGAAATTGAATTTACTCTTAAAAGTTGGTGATTGAGAGTTTGGTAAAAAAAATAAATAACCCAAGTTCGCCAAATTCGCTTCTAGAACTTCAAAATGCTATCTTACTTCCTAATGTACATTAAACATGATGTCCTTAAACTCACAGTATTTATATGACTTTGGCTTAATTGGAACCGCTTAATACTTTTTACGAAATGCAAAAAGTATACACAAATTAATTTTGTACTCTTGATACTCATAATTCTCCGTAAAAGAAACTTTTGTATAAAGTGCGTTAGGAAGCTTCTGTTCTGGCAGTTTTAATGCAGCCTTTGACTTAATTAAAAACTCTTCACAAAAAGCTCTCACAAATTTCACAGCCGACTACAAAGCACCGAAAATCATTTTTAATTCCATTTTCCTGCGCCACGAAGACTAGCTAATATGAAGCTAGAAAAAGAAAAATTTAATCTTTTTCGGCATTCTTTGCCGCTTTGTTTGGCGCACAATTTTTGACAGCCCCATTTGACATTTCTGCGAAATGAAGTATCCAGCTTAATCAGACAACGAGGAGCGAAACGGTGACATCGCCGGGGATTGGCGTCCGGGTGGCTAGGGGAGTGCAGCCAACAAAATGCCACAATGTGACACTGTCCAAAGCTCGGATGACCGCTACCCGTTGGCCATTCGGGCGCTGGAGTTGAAAATTTAATGAAATTCGATTTGATGTCCCTCTAATGGCCATTTGCCGAGCGTTTTGGGTTCGTTAATTAACTAAAGGCAGTCGAACACGTACGGACTGGCTCACACCATTCTAAAATTACGATTTAGCCCTGCCTGAAGGGCTTAGCCCGGCCAGGTGAAAGGGGGCGAAGGTTAGGGGGTGGTGGTGGCCAAGGGGTCGTGTCGAATTCCATTTCGAATTCAAGTTGCAACTAAACTGTTTGTTCATTGTGTTGCTCATTTCGATGCAGATAATTCGCACGTTCGCCCCTTAAACAGCACGTCGTGCCAAATCCCCATTCCTCGTCCTTTCTGGCATTGCGTATACGCAGTGTGTGGTGGTGAACCTGCATTGCGCGGCGGAAAATGTGCACGGTTATAAGGCGGACTGACACATGTGAGTCTCTTATCTAGAGATACACATCAAATTGGTTTTAGGGAGATTTGCGCATCAAAATGTTTTTTAATTTATCAACTAAGAAGTGGCAATATGCACTACATGTAAACGTCAAGTATTTTATTATCGTTTGTATTAGTTTGAATTGCTTTTCAATTTAAAAATACAAATGTTTACGAAATACTTAGTTTTATAATTTCTTACCGTGTGTAAGCCAATTCCATGAGTTTAAAATCAAGATTAACTAATTGTGTTAATTCAATACCAAGATACTTAGCACCAAACAAACGCCTTCATGTGTTAAATTAAAATCTTTTTTTATTAATCTAAACATTATTTCTGAGAGTTGAAAAAGCTTACAAATTATGTTTTCTGAACTTAAAAGCCATTATAAAAATGGGGCGAGTTAGGGGACTGGTTGGTATGGACTTAAGGGGCGAGAACTTTCTTTCCCAAGGAGTCATAAGTTATGTCTAGGATGGGCTTCTGTGTGTTTATTGTTTTTTTTTTTTTGGAAAAATTCCCTAGACTGCAGTTGCGTGTGCCGGGAGACGCTTGTCGCCGTGTTAATTGCAGTGTTAAAATGTTTAATTAAAATTTCAACTTGGCCGCGCTCGCAGCAGACGTGTGCCAGACCCAGGGCCAGACTTTATTATTGTTATTGTTTTTCCGGGCGGCAGAGAGCACACACTGGCACACCCCCGTTCCAGTCCTCCGCTTTTCCACATTTTCCACCTGGCTCGGGGCAGACGCTTTTCATGGTTCGTCAAGCTTGAAACAGGCGCGCTGGCAGCTAACATGGAATTATTAAATTTTCACACGTTGCTGTCCCAACAATTGGAAAACGAAAAGCAAAACCAAAACACCGAAACACAGCCAGGTGCTTTCTGCATAGTTTTTCCAACTAATTAATATTTTCGGGGACTGCAGCACTTGCAGTTCGCTATCGCCTGCATAATTCAAGTTGGGGAGCTAATTAAGAATGCGTCACTGTGTCGGCTGGCAATTACAAGTTGCCATTTTGTTTTATTGCCACCCCTGCAGGCAAATCGTAATTCAAAGTTATGACGCGCTATATGCGCCATATGTGGGGCTTCGACTGGGGGAACTGTCAAATTTTGGGTAGGCAGGAAGCCTGGCAAATATTTCCCACGTGTAACGAACACCGCCGAAACGGAAAGGGAAATGGAAAATGCGACTGGGCATGGCCAGAAAGGGTTGGCCATAAACACTTACGTTTTACGAGACACCCAGCCGCCCCCAAAAGAATAGCGGCAGCTGGAAACTTTTTAAGTAGCACAATCCTGGGAAGGTGTACCTGAAATATTATCCAGCCCCAAAGTTCTCGCATTCTCGGGATTCCTTTTCAGCTCCGTCTTGGCAACTTACAAAGGGGAAATGTAAACAGAGATGGGGGGTTGGGAGAATAAAGAGAACACGAAGCGTGTCAGCTTTAAGCTTGATGGAAATTTATCACATCCCGCCCGCGGCAACTTTCCCTGGGGGCGTGGCAGGCTTCTCAACGTCCCCTAATGAGCGGCTCAAGGCAAGAGCTGATTTAGCTGATTTTTCGCTGGCAACAGCGGAGAAGATTTCGTTAAAGGCTAATGAAAATTGATCAACAATATGGTGGGGAAAATATTGTTTCCCAGTCAAAGGACCTTAATTGAATTTCGTCTGAGGCTTGGCTGAGTGATTTTTCTTTAGGGGCATATTAATATTATTGCTTGTTTTGTTTTAATGAAGTGGCAAATATCCTAGGGACTCACTGTCTACTGTCTGCGAAATTACCATAAATTCGTGGTCGGGATAAGGCGGTCGCGTGCCGGGCAGACATTAGCCAATTCGAGGACACGAAGTGCAATAAAATTCATTGTCTGCCAGAACTCGAGACACGAGGTTGCGTGCCGGAAATGCGCCTGTCTCCGGTCTAGACGCCGCTGGGAAGAAAACTAAATGAAAATGGCAGGATAACAAGGCAAGCAGAGGAAAATAATATAAAATAATACACCTGGCGAGACGTGTGAGCAGCAAACTGCATTAAGGCCACATTAGTTGGCCCCCACACGCCGTATACGTAATTTCGAGAGTCCTTGGAATGGAATCCTCGGGGGAGGAGCATATTTCGGATGCCAACTGCCAGACGGAGCTCTCAGACCCGAGTGAAAGTGCATTTCGGATGGCGGGAAATTAATTTCCACTCGCCCGGGCACCAATTAAATTTGTACGAGGTAAAGCCATTTGAAATGGCCTTTGTTGAGCATGCAAAATGCAATTGAGGACGACAAAAGGAAGCAGCCATTGCAGCGGAAGCGGGACAAAGTTTCCACAACAGCAGAAACATGGCAGAACAACAGCTCACACACATACACACACCCTTTCGAATGGGAAAAGCGGAGAAAACGATGTCGAAAGAATCGAAAGAAGAAAAGTTTCCTTTGTTGTTGCTGATGCTGCTGTTCGCTTAAGGCGGAAAAGCAACAAGCTGCAACAAATACAAGCTGCCATCAAACCTCTGACCGAAAAGCCACCCACAAAGCCCCACCCACCAAACTATAATGCCGATTCCCCCAACATAAGCAAACAAAACGAGGGAGAAGAGAATGCAATTGAGCTTAAACGATAACATTGTCCAAAGCAATGCATATGGAAAACTGCGGAAAAGGGGCAACGAATACGGTGTGGCATCTTTACACTCGGAAAATCTTCCAATCCATGTTTACAAATTTTGTACTACCATGAAATCGGCTTGGTAATATGAAATTTAGTTATATTACTTACATTTTTGTAAATTTCCGACTTCCCACGAATTCTCATAAAATGTAATTCATTTAGGATTTACTTTTATACTGCAAACTACAAATTGATATGTATATTACATATTACTACATTTATGTAAGATAAGAACGAGTCTATATTATATAAATATTTACAGGATATAAAACATATTTTCTTAAATTTCCATTATATTTCAGTTCCCCAACAATCTACTCTACAAATAATAAGAGTTTGTGTAATAATTTTTGAGGAGTGTGCTAAAACCTGGTTAGGGGGAAAAGGAAACTTGACTTGCAACATGGCGTACAAATTAAAAGTGTGCCAGCGGCGAAACAAGTAGTACAGGAAGTGCAGCAGCTGAGCAGGCGAAACCGGCGAAACCGGAGAGTTGCAGCTGGCGAAGGATTTCGAAGGAGCATTGTGAATTGCGTAGGACTCACATTTAAATGCAAATCAGAGTCCCCGCCACCGGCGATCTGCTCGCGCTCCATTAGCGCGTATCGCAGGGATGAGATTTATGTCCGCCTGCCAAGTATTCTGGCGGCAAAGGCAGCAGAACAGCAGCCACTTGACATTTCCACTTAATTGTGGAAGAGAGCTAAGCCAAGTTTTCCCAGCTCGACACAAAATCAATGCCGGATTCGCCCGAGTTGCCTTCCATCCGGAATTGCTTAATTAATGGGACAAGAATCGCTGAATTAGTGCAAAAGTTCTAACTGGAGCTTCGAGTTCCATTCTGGAATTCAGGAAAGTTAGGAGCAAAAGTTCGTTTGAGGACCTCTCAGTTTTCGAAAAGGAGTAGCTACAGCATCCTCCATAATTCAGCCGGAGTCCACTTCCCAGATCGATTCTCCACTTGGCCGGCAGCAAAGTTTTAAGTAGATGTCAACGCGGCAAGAGCTGTCCGGGATGACCCGGCATCCCTTCCTCGCATTAATTGCACAATCCGGAGGACAAACAGCGGCGGGGAAACCACGGGCAGCAGGAGCCGCATCCGCCAAAGGAAACAAAGGATGACAAACGAAATGCGTAAATGAAATGAGGGCATGAATAAGTGAGGCAGCCAGAGGCAGAGGGCT